CCTTATATCAAGTATAATCCTAAGAGGTGGTATGGAAAGACAAATGAACATGCCATCATAAATTTAAACACAGAGAAACTGAAAGTCACAGAAGGCAAATTAAGTAGAAGACCTAAAAGGTTGTTAAATAAAGAAAAGAGCAGCTTGCTACATTCTGTTGTCCCCAGTTCAGGAAGCTACAGAACATTTGGAATATTTCAGAAAGAAGGAAAAATTATACTTTTCTCCACAGGTAATTATAGTGCAAAACCATCCATTAGAAGAAATCACTCAGTCTAAAGTCAACAATACTCAGTTACTCCAATAAGGAAAAATGCTGACTGGGTTTTACATATCCAGCTGATCTCTAAATACGTAAGTTAGAAATGCATCTCAGGGTAGAACAACTTCCACATGAGGGATTTCTCATGTTTCACCCTGACCATCAGATACTAGTAACTCTTAAAGGAGACAGGATGCTGGAGCAGGTGGATGGGCAGCGCTGCTGGATGATCCAGCTGCAGCCTGACAGTGCTGGAGCAGCTGACAGACCCCTCACACTCAAGGCTGCGATCCTCCTGAGAATATGAGAATAACATTTCCTGTGGTTAGGAGATTACCAAGATGGCTAATTATCATCAACTCTTTCTCATATTTGAGGATTCTTATACCAATAAACACTTTACTCAGGAATTTCCCAAAGCCTCAGTGTCTTGCAAATGGAGACCTTTTACTCACATGAATAAAAGTATACTACTTGCTAATCAAATAGTACTTCCTTCCAACACTCTTGACCTTTGTAAAATTGATGCTTTTCTTTTAATGGTAGCATTATTAAGGGTGTAATTGGAGATCTGTATGTGATGATGCCTCTAGGGCAAGGTTCTCTTAACATCTGAAAAAAATTTTAAAAATCCTCAAATGTAGTTTTAAGTAAATATAAACCAGAAAATCATAAAGGTAAACAGGTGCAAGAATATTAAATTCTAATCCTTTCTCCTTTAAAAAAAATAAATTTAATAGGTTGTGAAATATTTCCAGGAGCTCTCCCACCTCCCCTATTTATCTTCTGTACAAGTGTGCACAGACTAAAATCCTGTGCGTGACTGGTACTCCTATTAGGCAGCTCCTTTTGCTAAGGTCTGCCAAAGGAAAGTAAGAATAAACTCTGTGTAATATTTATTTTTTCCTAGTTATCAAAACTGTACAGGAAAAGACATCAAAAACCCTGCAAGTGGATTGAAGCATAAAATTAAGAAAGAGCTATTATGTAGTTATTTGAATTGTCATTGTTGTTGTAATGATGTTTTACATGACGCTAATCATGTGAAAATTCTCTTGATACTCTCCAAAATGTAGAAATGCTTTTGAATTGTTCCATGGACAGGAATCATCAGTATCTTGTGAGGAAAAATAAAATGTTCTCAAAAGAGACTTTGATCCCAGTTATCTGTGAAAGTTTTTGGTTTAAAAACACTTTTTAGATTCCTGAACTTGAATATAACATAGCATCAGTTTAAGTAAAGACATGCAAGACTGCTAGAAATGTTTTTTTTTGTTTTTTTTTTTTTTAATTCTAGAGGCTGAGAGGTAAAGAAATTGCATCAATAAATCATTACAGTTGGCCTGTTCCTTTTAAAATTTCCAATAGAAGTCTACCAAAGATCCTGGTATGCTAAAAATCAAAAGTATCTGTGATTCCAATTATATTCTCCCTCCCTTACGAAAATCTGAGATGCAATAGAGTATGTACAATCCTCTCACCCTTTTAAAGAACTGAATAAACTACCAGAAAACAATATAAAAAATTTAACATGTATTAAAATATAAAAAACTGCTTTTAATCAAAACACCATTTAAGTAATTTTTACATAGTAACAGACACTTATTTGGGGTACTGCATAAATTTATTGCCAGCTAAGCCTCAGACCTCCCCACTCCCCGCACTGGGCTACTGAATTTCTGCAGGGTTACATACTGCCCACAGAGACAAATACAGTCCAAAACTTCTAAATGCAGAAGTCAGTGACTGAGGTTGTAATCACTTCCTCACTTACCCACTTGTGTGTCATACCCTGAAACTTCACCATAAAACTCTTAAAATCTACCTGGTGTGAAAAAACTTGACTCCACATTTAAAATTACTGAAGAACTCTTGACTCTTAGGATTCCTAACAACTGCTTTTGGCTTTTTACAAACACCAGCCATGACAAAACTATCTTTTCAGTAGCTGACAAAATTTACGAAAAGCCAAGGCAAAACAAATTTACCTGTCCTGGTCATCTTTCCTTCACTGCCATGAGAAGCTCTACACCAAGATTAATAATAAATAAGCTTATTTCTAATAAGCTTAAGAACAAAATAAAGAATTGAGTTCAGTAAGGCTTCTCAGGAAGCTGCATCATGCTTCCTACCATTGTAAGAACTTCACGGGCTCTAATTTCTCCCACAAGAACTTCCATACTACTTCCTTGGTAAAAGAGGTACAAGATATTGCATGTAGAACAAAGACGTGAAACGGATCCCCACTGTCAATATTTAAAACACTAAATATTTGAACTGATCACCCAAAGACTTACTTAGCTGGGGCTGGGAAACATCATCCCTGGGAAATCTTAAATTTCCAATGAAACAGAAATGATTTATATTTATACTCTGCAGTGTGGAAGACACTTTGAGAAAAGTTCAATCCTTAGAGTGCCTTTGGACAGTTCAGCACTTCATTTAAGCAGATACTGAAGTATGTCTTCTATCTATTCTCCAAAACCTTACTTAAGTAGGCAACAAGCTTGTTGAGCTTCACAGTACTTCACTTGGTGAGATTAATCTTTAATCAGTATCTTCTGCTACAGTGGCACGATCCAGGCCATTTTAAGAGAAAATTTCTTTTAGATCACAGAATGCTTGGAGTTGGAAGAGACCAGAGCTTATCTGCTCTGACACACCTGCTCAAGCAAGCTCATGCCAAGGCACATTGCACAGGATTGCATCCAGATGGGTTTTGGATTATCTCCAGTGAGGGAGACTCCACAGCCTCTCTGGGCAATCTGTTCCAGTGCTCAGTCACCTGCACAGTAAAGCAGTTCTTCCTCATGTTCAGGTGGAACTTTCTGTGCATCACTTACTGCCTGTTGTCTCTTGCCCTATTGTTTTTGGCATCACTGAGCAGAGCCTGGCTCCATCCCCTTGACACTCTCTCTCCAGGTGTTTATAAACACTGAGTTCCCCTCTCTGTTGTCTCCTGTCGAGGCTGAACAGGCCCAGCTCCCTCAGCCTTTCCTCCTAAGAGATGCTCCAGTCCCCTCATCACCCTTGTGGTCTCTGCTGGACCTGCTCCAGGAGCTCCATGTCCCTCTTGTGCTGAGGAGCCCAGAACTGGACTCAGCACTCCAGATGTGCCTCACCAGGGCTGAGTAGAGGGGCAGGATCACCTCCCTTGACCAGCTGGCAATGCTCTTCCTAATGCACCCCAGGATACTAATGGCCTTCTTGGACACAAGGACACAAGCTTGTTGTCCACAGGACCCCCAGGTCCTTCTCAGAGATATTCTTGCCATGCCTACAGATACACTATTGACCAAAAGACTAAAATCAGTACCCTGAATCTTGAGATGTTTCAAATTCAATGTATTTACATGAGACTGTCTTTTTAAAATTTAAACCAAAGACCAGTCAGAATGGAGATGTGCTGTATAATTAATAAAAAAAGAAAACTATATTCTCTGTGCTGTGTAGTAATTTTACTGAACAAATAGCTCTAAATATGTACTTTTCATAATTTTATATACAAAAACTATACTAGAAGAATAAAGCTTTAAGAAATGATTTTACAGAATATGTTGCAATTAATCATGGCATAACATGTTCCCAGATATCAATACCAAACTCACAAATCAGAAGCATCTTCATGGAGCATTTGAAATGTTAACATGCTCTTCTCATCTTTGCAAATGATTTTTAAGATGCCCCACTCTTCAGCAGCAGTTAGCTTTCACCCAATGCACATTACTTTACAAACAAGCATTGAAATCCTGAAGGTTTGATTTCGGGACAACATTCAGCATTGCCTCAGATGTTTATTACACGATAAATTAATTTACTAAATGGAAAGTTTCTCTTATGTAATTCTTTGGGTAACTTAAACACATTTAGTTAAGGACAACACACAAATATAAGGTATCTTCTCCAAACATGCAGAGTAACACTACTTGCGCAATTCAACTGTTGTAGCTTTTAAAGCATTTGCAAACCATAGCTAATACATTTTCTCCTTGACTATTTGATTCAGGGGCTATAGTAGTTAAAATACAATGTTAGCATTTTCAAGGCTACATTAAATTAAAATGTAATCATACTAATCATAATTTACTTTTTTGTACCTAATTATTCCATTGCAGTCACATTTCATTAAACCAAGATAAACAAAGTTCAGGAAACTAAGTATGAGTAATTGTGCTTTATGAATTAATTCTAATGTGTCTCTAAAAAAAGGCCAAAGAAAACCATCCCAACTTAACCAAACTGAAAAAATCTGTCATAAAGCTGTCAAAAGGCCCAAACCCTTGAGCTACCAAAACATTAGCAAGAACAAAGCGTCTGAAATATGCAAGTGTGATTACATTTTGAATTTTGTCATTTTAAAGCCTTTACTTTCACAGATGTAATGCAATTAATTTTTACATCTCTTCTTGATTTTCTTTAGGTCACAGCAGAATTCAAATCTTCAAGTGTGAGTGATTACCCACACTTACTCTAAATGGCAGACAACACAAGTTATAGAAACGTGGACCAAGACTACAGTAGTTACAAAACGCAAAACAAGGTTAACAAATATGCCTTCTTTATGATAATATATAACAAAGGGTTTAGGAACTCTGTATCAAAACTCATTTCAGATTATGTGGTGTTTCCTCCTCCCTTCCACAGGTCTGTGAAAGGTGGTAAACATGTTTTCTTCAATATTCAGCTCAGTAAGAGTTTAGCTGGAAAATTATTATAATTGCATAAATATAAAACCACATGATAAAGCAAAATATTTTAATTAGCAAGCCAATCATAAATAAATTCACCTAAAATTAACAGAAGCAGCAGCTGTATTCCTTCTACATTGATACTTTTTTAATCATATTTTAATAGTCAACTTCATTGCCTAGCCTGGGACAAAACAATTCATCATCATCGAGCACTCAATTCTGCACAATGAGCTAGGTCTTTTTTTTAGTTACATTTTTTACATTTTCTTTACAAATGTAATACCTATGTACATTATATATTTTATTTCTACAATTGATTTACTTTACTGAAACTCTACAACTTTCACAGGGAATTTGCTGAAGTCTTTAGCAAATATGAACCATTCCTTTTAAAAACAAATTCATATAAACAACCAACATACATCACTGCCCTTTGACATCTCTGTTAAGGATTTGGATCTGGAAGGGCTACTATAACAAATGTAAGAAAAAAGGCTTTACCTAATTGTACTTTTTGTTAAGAAATATCATCCCACATAGCTACATAAATTTACCAGCTTGCAATAAACAGAGCACCATACCGCTGCACAACTGGAAACGTGTACAAACCAATTTTAAAGTTTACTAGTGAAACAGCTTCATCACTCGCAGCACTTTTAGACTGAAGGAAATCTGCAAAATTCTTTTGGAAATGTATACTCCTTTAGCTCTAAAACATCCAGAACAGTGCCGGTCACCGTATATTGTGAGGAACAAGCATCCACTTCTGTAACTTCCCGTATGCTTCTCTTGGCCCATGCTTCTGTCTCAAGTCAGACTTTTTCCTCTACCTATTCCTTGGTCACTTACAAATCTGCTGTTGAATATTAAGTAGGAATTCATAATACGAGAAAGCTGCTTCTGTCCGATCCTCAATTAAATGCTGAAAAAAATCTGTTTTGGCAGGGTTCTCATCTCTGAAAGAAGAAGGGAAGGTATTGAGTAAAATCAAACTTTGAGCAAAAAAATCCACTGCAAATTCAAACAGACAGGCAAGTTCTAATAAATTGCTTACTGTCATTTGGAATATAAATTCAGTCCTAAGATATTACAATTACAAATAATCCAGAGTCTAAGAAAAAACCTGAAGTTTGCAATACACTGTCAAAAACCAGCATCTTTTAAAGTATATAAAATGGTAGAAAAGCAGGTGAAATACAGCACTTAAAATACCTTGTAGAAACATAAAAAAGGAAATGTAAAAATTCTTTTGTTTTTGAAGCTTGTAACAAATATGCTGGTGGCAATGAAAAATGGCAAGAATTACATCTATGCTTACATGTAATCTCAATCTCAATCCCCTCCCCAGGCTTTCTTGGCAACAGAATAGAAAAGGTAAACATGTCAAAGACCTAGTATCCAAAATTATTGCCCCCATAAAAATTTGTTGGGACACAGTCCTCTGTTCTGGTGTTGTGCAGCATGCAGCAAAACTCTCTGACTTATTATGGTCTGTCAGAAATTCTTGCAACTCAAGCAGCAGCCCCAATGCCTTCAGTCCTATATTTCAGAATAATTTCTCTGAGAAAGTCATCATACTCTATAAAAAGTGATCTCCTGCCCAGGTCAGTAAAACGAGTACTCTACAAGTGAAATGTAATCTCAAGTATAATTATTTTATAGAATTTAAACCTCCTTAAGCAAGCCATAGCTTGAAAAGTCTTCAGATCAGCTGCTGTCCTGTAGATCTCAGTAACAAATACACACAATTATTAAACCATCTACAGATTACTAACTTTACTTGAATCTTTTTTATATACTATAATGAAATTATAAAAGCTATACCAGAAACTAACCTGGTTAACACCATTGATCATAAGGAAATCCACTGTGGTTTAGTGTATTCCTAATATAAAAATATACAACCAATTCCTACCAATAAAAGTATGAGCAGCTGAATTTGCACTAGACTCAAAGATAACGTTTGTCACTAGACAGTTTTATAAACAGCACTGTATCAGATGGGAAGGTGATGTTAATTCAGTTTCTTCCAAGAGAGATATACTCACTTTTCATCAGTCTTAATTAGAAATTGTAAATACAAGTTGCTAGAAACAATTCAGTACATAACAGAAATACTTACTTTATTACTTGAAGAACTGGACTTAAAGGTCTACTATCTCTAAGCCAAGATATAAAAGATCGTGTCCTTTCTGAAGAAGGTGCATCCACCTCAGGAAGCTGTGTCTGGTTGAAGGTAATTGAAATAAACCATCACCTTTTACTATTGAAACTATTTAAAAAAAACAGATCCTGAAAGTATTAACATAACTCAAGCCATAATTTCTGTTAAGAAATTACCAACCATGGATTTACATACAAAGATGCTTTTCTTCAGTTTAAAGGACAACACTTCATAATATCTGTGGTGCACTGCTATCTAGGAAGGAGTACAATTTAAACTGTGTTTTAAGTGCAAAAGATTTTAGGCAGCAAGTTCATCTTTACAAAATGCTGCTTTTGCAGTCTTTTTGCCTAAATCTTCTGTCAATCAAGTGTCTACATGTTGCACTTTGCATCACTGAAGAAATGGGAAGTAAAATCTGAATTTTATGTAAATATCAACGGGAATACGCTACTGAACTATTTGGTTAGGGAATAAGCTGAAAATAATAGACTTAAAAAGAGTTGAGCAATTCACTGAGCTAAATATATACCTCTTCAGCCAATATGATGCTTTAAGACAATTATGACATAAAGGAATTTATTTCAGTTAAAGTAGTTCCACTGCTACCTCTGTAGAATGAGAGCATAATTTAAAAGCAACGATAACTTTATGTAAGTTTTTGTCTCATTTTCATTATAACAGATGCTATATAACCATTGAAAAAAAATTATCATCCTTCCTTTATCTAAGCTCTTCCTGGAAACTCTATTAACTAATACCACCTGCTGGTCATAAGGGACAGTTCCAAATTGCTAATACATTCAAAATACAAAACTCAGAACAAGTAGTCCAGTTTTATAGTAGTCTTATAGCTTACCACTCTCAACCTGTTCTTGTCATTTTCCTGCTTGATAGTATGCAACTGTAAGCAGAAAATATCTACCTATGTGTTTCTATGCTAACATTTTTTGATACTATTTGGATATAACCATTTGATTCTGAATGTTCCTAAAGTGTCTTAAAAGGGTCCATCCTCATCTGCTAATAGTTGATATTATGGAATAATGCTGCTCTGTTTCACGCACTAGACTATAGGTACAGGTTGTAACACACAAAAACCCCTCCACCAAAACACACCTCCAAGGATCTCTGATGTTCTAATAGCTGAAAGTTTCTCTATTAACATTGAGTCAAGGCTTGGAAGCTGAGCAAAACTTAACTCTTACCATTACTTACAGGCCTATTGTGTCATACCACGGATTTGGTATCTTACATGAGGTTCAGAAAACACATGTTATCAATGAAGTAACTCTAATCTCAATCATTAACACATCTGAATAATTTTTGTATTTATCCAGTGAAATTACTTCCTTTTCTTCTGAATGCAAATGTAATGCCATAAAACTAATAAAAGCAGTTAGGTTATATAGAAACTGTTTGGCATTTCATGAATGACAAAATTTACATGTTTACATTCTTTCCCTGAAAATATCTTCCAACTTCTATCTGGCTCCTATGAAACTGACAAGAGGTTAGAAGGTACCTAAGTAGAAGAAAACCGCAACCTCATAGTTATGTAATTAAAAACTGAAAATACAGAAATAAATAGATTAAATGCATATTCTAAGTGTAAGCAGTATACAGCCCAGCTCATTAAGATGCCTACCATTTTCTGTGGCACTGATGCATAGTTCGGGTATCCAAGGACATCTTTTATGAAGTTGTTATCACAGTTTTTTCCAATCCAAAGGTAAAAAATCTGAAAGATGTTAGAATCAGTTTTAGAAAAGGCCCTGCATACATTTTAGAGAAACAGGCAAGTGGTGATGCAATAGGAATAATACCAGAATAGTAACTTCCATGCAAATGAATCACTTGAGTGTTCCAGTTACAATTCATGCATAAATGTCTATATTCATAAGTAAGTGTGTAAATACCCATTACATTGGTAACAGAGTAAGGTCATTAAACATTAAAAAAATTATACAGGTAGAATTCAAATACTGAAAGAATGAGGTTTCAGGACACATTTATAATAGAACAATTAATGCAGTAACTTTCCATGTTACCTCCTTAAATGAAACCCCTCAAATTATTTGAAGTCACACCACTCCATTGGTTACTGCACACTGGCTTCCCAATCTAGACAAGTTGTAGTGAAGCATCAATTATCAAAGCTTATTGTAGTAATTATTTCAGAGGTCTGGAGACAAAAGCTAGTTTTAAATTCAAACTCAGCCCTGAAGTGATTCAAGGTTAAAAGCACCTTCTAGACTGTCACTGGAGTAGCATAATGCTTTATCAAATTGAGCACGTTTCAGTGCAATTTCTACAAATATATTAAACTGTATCTACAGATTTTGTTCACTCTCCAATTCCCCCTCATTGCAACTCTTACGTAACACAGGCTACAAATATTAAACCCACTCTTTGTGCATAACTGAGAACATTCCTGCATCAAGTATTTTGTTAAATCCTCTAGTGTATGCAATTTAATAGTCATTAAAAGAAATTCTGAAAAATAGAAATACACTAATTCCATCAAAAACACCTTGATGTGAAGTCTTGGTATATTTCGACCAGTCTTGCATGAAAAAAATCAACCTCTATAGCCTCAAAGGATCAAAATATGAAAGCTTACATTGGAATGCAGATTACTGTCAGATTACCTGGAATGCTGATCCACAACACTGTTATAGCTGAGAGCTGACTGGTTTCAATAACACAGAAGGCACTGCTTTTGGTTTTCTTTTTCTCCTTTAGAAAATTTTTAAAAAGAGAATGTGTAAAATTTTAACTTACTGAACCACAGTCCATAAGAAAAGCTCCTTCTCTTGTCAATTTCTCTGCAGACAACTTCTGAAGGGGTGGTTGAGGAACAACTCTGTCATTTACATGTATTGTACTCTGTAACAAAAAATCAATACTCAGTAACACTAGACTTTTACCTTTAAAGGTAAAACAAAACAGGAAAAATAATGATAATCTCTAGTAAAATTTTGAGGATTCTCATATAAGAAAACACAATGTTAAGCCTAAAATGATTGTGTATGTTAAACAGTTCTAGTATATTAAAAGGCTACTTTAATACCTAAAACATAATAATGGAAGTAAATTTAAGCTGTACATGTAAAATTTTTGATGCTACAGAGGTAAAAATTTCAAAAGAATTACTACTGTTGACACTTAAGTTTTCTACAAACTTTCTTCCATTGCATTCGGTTTCACTAAAAATGTTGCAAGAGCAGAAATACATCGAATTCTACTCCCTATAAGGAAGGGTTCAGTATATTATTGCATTCAATTAACAGGAAGTCCTCTGATTTAACATCCTGCCTGAAGTGATCCTTAGGTTTCTCCAAAGCCCTATGACTGGTCTGATTAAAGAATCTGGCTGTTTGCACTAACATTGAAGGTTGTTATTGCGGCAACTGTATCTGATATCTGTATATAAAACCTTGAATCATCCATCAGATCTATTACACCCATTTACCACAGACAGTTGTAAATAATGAAAACACACTGAGGATGTTTCCAATACATACAATTTTCTTCAGTTTCTTTGTATTATAAAAAACTATGGAATGAATTACTAATTACTGGAATTATGGTCATTGAATCAAGATGAAGTAAAACCACAGTTCTGCTCATACCACACTACTGTACTTGCAACTCAAGACTTGAAAATAATGTTTTTCTTGATTTTTTATAACTTAGGGGAAATGCTCCATTTGTATTATAATAGCAACATAAAATTACTGCAGCACAACACCAAATTTAATGGGCCATTAAAACTAGAAAATGCTATAACCAGGCTTCATACATTACCTCATCAGTCAGCTTGTCTATTCTGTACAAGTTAGGATGTATCATCTTCATCAAATGAACAAGAGGCTGGCTCTTCATCTGGCACATTGCATAGACACGATCATCCAAGCGTGTACTTGTGCCTGTTCTGAAGGCTTTCTGTAAGAGAACATTACTACTCAAACAAATCCTGTATTTTATGTCACATGTAAGAGTGCATTTCAAAATTCACATTTTCAAAGTGCCAAGCAAATGTAGCAAATCTTTTGTAAAGAAATATATCTTACTGGAAGAATCTTAAAGCTTGAGCAAAATATTTAAAACATAATGCAGTCCCTTCTTACTGATGAAGGAGAATAAATTTCTCCCTCAGTTTGTTTAAAATTTACGTGCAATTGGGCCAGAATTTCTCATTTTTATTCTTGACAAGTGACACTGGCCTGTGAAACTCACCAATGCAAGCTATCACAGGAAAGGTAAAAGACAAGCAGTGTTCAGGCAAGACGTGGACAAGATTAACTCGGAATTTATAGTAGAAAGAATTCAATGTTAAAGAACAGCTTTGGAAGAGAAACATACTTTCATGTTTAATAGGTGAAACTCGACTCTCATAGGATAAAATTTATTTTTTAACTCTCTCCTACTGAATTTTTCAGATCTCCTTTAGAAGAAACTGGTACACAACTGCTGTGAGAAGCAACATGATGAAGTAGACATCATTTTCTAACTCAATGGAGAACATTCCTATCAAAGTTCATATTCACTTCTACAACAAAGCTAAGGACATCACTCCTTGTCTGCCATAAGCATTTTGATTTTGGTTTCTCTGTATCCTAGGTTTTCTTCTTGTTAATAAAGATAATAAAAGATCCAAACCTAAACAACTTTTCCCAGCCACTCTTATTTCTGTCTTTTACACAGATCTTGATAATAAAAATGGTCTGCTTTTTTCCTGCGATTGACTGCATTTATTATGAAAGTATCAAAAAATCATAATCATTATAGACTGAAGTAATCACTAAGCCAAAGAAAATAAATTACTATGCTTAGATCTCTTACAAGATTTATATAAAGGTTTGTTCATCCTAACGCAACCAAGAACTGTCAGACATGAAAACCTTCATGCAATGAGATTTATTCGTAACAAAACCCTGCAGGAAGCTCTCTCTTAAGTATAATGTTCAGTAATCCAAACAAAGATATCATTAAAATAATAGCAAAAAAAGAATAGTAACTACTTCTATGTGAACTTTCAATTATATGACTTGAGTTTCTATAAAAAAGTTCAGCATATCTCCATAGAAACTCATTTTTCTTGTTGGAACTTTAAAGTATGGATTGGAATATACGTATAAAATATGTATTGGAAAATACTAGCTTTTTTCTTTATAACATAAAAACGAAGAAATACTAATAAGCAGTTTCCAACAACTTTTATGAGCTATACTAATGAGCTGTGAAAATCTGAGAAATGCTAATTGTAAATTATATTTTTATTTTCGTTGTGAAGCAGTATAAGACAAAACGTAAGAAATTCAAAATCAAGTAAACCAATAATGTTCAGACATTAACAATTTAAAATAAGCTATTACAGTCATCTTCTACAATAAAGTCCAGTGTCCAGTCAGCATAAAGACAGTAATCCAATTTCCATAATTTTAGAGAAGTGCAGACATTGTTTGACCTAGAACTGAAGAATTCCTCAAATGGAACAATGAACTAAACATCAAACAGTAATCCACTAGATGATACATACCTGTTTGAGAAGAGCCAAAATATAGAGGGGGAAGAGCTTGAGGGAATTTGGTGCTACCAGGATGGACTGCTGCAGATTTGAGGCAGTTGACATGTATGCTGCCAAGGAGTCCACCACAGCATTGACTAAGGCATCTCTTGCATCTGCAAGGCTGGATGAAACCGAGCGATCCACAGCTGGGGGATTAGGAGAGAAGAAGTTACTAGACATGGCCTCAGCTCATTCCCTTGAATTTTGAAAATTTTACTTGCATTTCCAGGTTATGTTTCAAGACTAAAAAATCCCCCAAACCACATCTGCATTCTAACTTTTTCAGGAGTAATTTAGATGATTGTCAATACAGAAACTCACTTTTACAATGCTTAAAAATATAGTGCAGCTAATTTCAGCTCACTGGTTTGTACTCTTGGAGAATTAGAAGAAATTTTTAAAGCAATCATACATAGTGAAGTCTAAATATAAATTTAAACCTTATACAAACAACTTAACCATTGTTGAAATGCTGTTGCCCAACCTCCAAGATAAGATTTGCACCAATTAATTTTGTTTGTTTGTTTTTTCCCCTCACACAAAAAATTTCTTCCATGACTTCAGTGGCATAACTGTGATTAGTGTAAACACAGCTTCATCTTTCTCTGCTGAGCAAGGGCTGCAAATCCTTTGGTTGGAGGAAGCCACCTGCTGGATTGAATGTGCATTTAAGAAGAGATCACAGAATGGTTTGGGTTGGAAGGGACCTTAAAGATCATCTAGTTCCAATCCCAAAAGACATAGGATTACAATTTACTTCTAACTGATTTCAGTATTAATATACAATATAGTACATGCTAAAATGCTGCACATAGTAACACACATTTAACAGGAGAGATCGGTCTATGAAACAGCTACTTATGATCCACAATTAAGGGATAAGTAAGAATCCTCAACCCTGACACAACAGAAGGATAGAAAACCAGTATCTCAGATACACTGTTGTCAGAAATTCCCTTTTAGTCTCCAGCAACTCACTAAACTGGATTACTGTTTCTTAAGTAATCCTAGAATGCTAAAGTTTGAGTGAACAACAATGATAATGATGATACAAAAATGAGAGTTTTGATTCAAGTGTGTTATGATTCTTTTTCCTTTACTAACCCCCAGAAAACAAAGTAAGAAGGCTGCTTCTAAAAGACTAAAGTCAACTAAGTATTCAGAACAAGGAGTATTTCAGGTCACACTTTCAGTATAAATTTGGTTTTGTCACCTTTTGCACTCACAGGCTTCAGTGTGCTGAACTTCAACCTTTTTTAACAATATCCAGGCTTCATTCACTACTTATTTAAACAGCTGGCAAAATTAGGAACATGCAAAAAACCATGTGAATCTTCCTGGTCTGTACTCACCCATGTTTGCTAAGAGGCACACAATTGCTTGTACGTCTGCTCCTGCATATACATCAGACAGGGAACTCACTACAGGCAAGCAAAGTGTGTGCACTCGAATTCGACGCTCACCTAAGAGAAATTAGTGGAAATTATTATACATTCTCTCCAGGTAGAAGTAAAGACATCCAGTCATTACAGCATCTCCTCCCATCTAAGACGGACGCATTCTAGAAAACATACCAGTCAAGAAATTGCTGCAACACTGTCTCTGATTCCTGCCTCAACCAGTTCAAATTCTACTCTAAAGCAGCACAAATTGATAACACAAACTAGCAACATCCACAATAAGTCTTTGATCTCACAAACGAAGTACACTGATATCCATCCCACAATTTTGTGGCATCTTCTACCATACAAATTAGCTGCTATTCTTTATGCTCACCCAGTGTAGTAACTGCAGCATGTTACAATCCATCACAGGTCTGTGTATTTGGACAAAGTGCCTGCCAAACGTGTTACTGTGTGCAACAATGGCCACACTTCTAAATAAAAGAGTCTTGCTGAATCAGCACTATGTCAGAGGCAGATGAAATTTTCACATTAAAACAGTGTTTATAAGGATTTCCATTATGTGATTAACTGCCAAGCAGGCTTACTAGCTTACTAGCTCTGACAAGATTCTTTTAGGGTATAGAGCACAACAAAAGGCTGTGAATCTAACTTTACAAACATTACATCATAAAAAGAAACAAAAAGCCCACTGACCAATTAATTTGAATTTATTTACCTTTACTGGAAGTATACAAAAGGGCTGTTTGAAAACAAACCAATGATGTGTCAGTCAGACTTTCCTCTATGGACATTTGTACTGCAAATCCAGCATCAGGATTGACATTGGCAAGGGACAGTAAATCAGTGGATCGTACAAAAAAATTCCCATGGAAAGTGTGTATTGAAAGACCTAGAAGCAGATTAAATAATTCAGAGTGAGGTTAAAACAGCATGGAAAACTCCCACCAATAACTAAAACCCCAGACCTCAAGTTATGATTGAAGAAAACAGTAAAAATTCTATCATGTAGAACCAATTACATTTCAGCATGATCCTGCAGAGTTCATGTTCAATTCTGAACACTCAAAAGTGAATGATGCCTTTACACTACACATGTGAACTTATAGTGAGATGGTACCATCAGCTAAAAAACAAAACAAAAAAATCAAACACCAAAAGCTAACTTAACATAACTCTTCAAAGAAAGAAAAATAACATTCAATTTAATGTTGCTAAAGACTAAGTACATTCAAAATGATTGCTAACACATTTACACCAATTGTTCCATATGAATCACTATTTAAGACAAACCTTTTGTACATCTTATGCGCATAACTGCCTCAAATCCAATCTTTCTTGTAAGGTATCTTTTCAGGTCTTTTTGCAACTTTTCAGCCTGAGCAGGATTATGGCTGCGATGGAAAGATGGATAGTAATAGATGCATCCAGCAGAATACTTGGACATGCAAGCTGTAAAGGAAGGAAAGATACAGTTAAGAAGTAAAACTGTAACATAAAATCAGGACATAAAGTCTGTGTCCAGACTTCCACAAGTCACATCTACCTTCATCTTCTCAGTATCACCCACATCAGTAAGACAATGAGAATTGTCCCAGACTCAGGTCAGTGAAGATAGAAATGAATCACCCCAACACATAATGACCTAATTATACATCAAGCTCAATAAGCATCCTACATTTGGCAGCTAAGATTGAAGTGCTTGCGGAAATATCTAATGGTGTAGAGCAAAATTATGTGTATGTACAGAGACAAATCTTGGATAATTATCAAAAGATGAAAATTGTTCTACTCCTATAATTAAACTTCATTTATTTCTTGCCAAGTTTCTGTTTCCTGTTCTCGAGCAGGAGAATACTTTACATTTAAAACTTTGAAATCCTAGAATAAGTTGTCTGATACCAACAATGCAATACTTCTGTTCTTTGCTTCCATTAACTTCAAGGTCAATTCCTTTGCAACATGAGCTGCAACTACAGAAGTGCTAAAATATTTACATGTCTTAGGAATTCCTGTGCTTCTGAAGAGAGACAACAGCAGAAAGAGGGAAGGAGATACTCCTTACCAAGAGAAGCTAGATCAGAATATTGTGAACTTAAGAGAAATAAATCCACAGCAGTCTGCTGGCCGGAACAATCCAGTGCCAACTTCTTATAAAAGTCTGTTGCTGGACCAAGATGCTGGACCACCTTTAGTAAATAAATCATACAGGGAGGAGTTATGACAACAATCATGCTTTTTAGACTTCATGGAAGAAAAGACATACTATTCAGCACCATCTGAGTAACTGAGTCACAAGTATTTGCAACTTCTTTTGCTTGCCAAGAAAAATAATGGACCAAAGGCCAAAGACAGCTCATGAACTTCAAAACAAGTAATACCACACATACATGTATAAAGTAGTGATCTTAAATCCATAAACATAGACATAACTAAAATTCAGTTAACTGCTATAGATGAAGACCAAGACATTGATCTGCAGAACTATGCAGGTCAGAAAGACATGGCCAGTCCTTAAGTCTTTTGAAATGAGTAGTGAAGGAAGTTTTTTACCTTTGTGCTTGACCTTTGATTGGGATCCTCTCTGGAATGCAAAAGTCCCGCTCCCAAAGATGGTAACTGAGTTTGAAACACAGAGATGCGACCACCCGTTGGAGACATCAGTTTAAATGCAGCCTGAAGAGCAGGGCCCAATGCACTGTGTGTTTCTCTTGTATTGGTGAACATATTTGGTAATGCATTCAATAGATCTTTAATCAGCTGCAGAACAGATTGAAAGGTGTTTTATGAGACTCTGCCAGCTTGAAATTTTCTGCTGTTTCTAAAAAGCCGTACTGCCATGACTGAAGTGGCAGAATCAATACCAAGCATTTCAGTTCAGTTTTAACACACTAAAGATAACAAAGATGTGATTTTAAAGGCTATGGTGTATCAATGAAACAGCATATAATACTTCCATAATGAAAAATTAGCATTGGAACTACATATTATGAAGATTAAGTTTGAATTCAAAGTTTAACAGGAACATCTGTTTTGAATATTTAACACCTTAGATTTAATTATGGACTTTGAGCAATCATACCTCTTTGCTTTCATGGAGATTTACAAGTAAACTATCTGGTGTAGGTAGAAAAATATCTATGGGGAGAACAGAAAAAAATATTAAAGAAAAAAATAACACTGAAATAGAACAAAACATTTCATTGCCACTACAAACACCATGAAACAGTCTACTTTTCTAATATGTGTGTTACAGCTAAATACTCCTTGCAGATAGGTAAGAAAATTATATGCAGACACGTGTAAAAGAGAGCAATACAGTCTACACAAAGCTTGTCTGATTCAAAGCAAAATTAACTATCGAATTTCACATTTTAAACATCACCTACTCAGTTAGTTAGTTAGTTAGTTAGTGCAAGACTATTTTTCAAAAAAATATTCTCATTCAGTAACATCGACCTAATATCAAATAGTTGAGAGATTCTAACTTTTGTTCTGGGAAAAAAATAGGTTCTCGAAAATTCAGCTTCTATTTTCTTTTTACTTACCATCAATATCTGAGACAATCAGCATCTGAGGCTGTGATAAACCTTCTTGCAAGTTGTAAAACTGAACAGTGCTGTCAAACGTTATGAACCCTATTCTTGTTCTTGAATCTCCAGGCAGCCTGAAGCATTAAAAAATAAACTATTAAGCCCTAAATCTCTCTCTCAAGATACATAGATACTCATGGCTCCTGCTGATGTCAGCAGAAACTCAGTTCATGTGTAAAGAAGTGAAGGGAGAACATAAGAAGGGAGGTCTGAAACATGAATACAAACAATATTTCCTCAACATTTTCTGAAAGGCTGAGGTAATGATACAGTTTATAAGACCAAGTGTTACAGATAAGCACTCACTAATATATTGATAGTTTGTTCCACAAGAGAACTTAAGAAGTTCATTTAAAGCTGACACATGAAACAAGGCAGCCTTCTCAGTTCTTTAATAGAAAACAATGCGTTCTGCTCTTTCCTAATTCAGAACTCCCATTTACTAATGTACTTACAGAGTACTTACAGCTCTAAATCAAAATCCAATGTCTCTACAATGCAACATTTATTTCTCATGTGGACCATATTTCAGTGTATGGCATAATACAAAATTAAAGACTACATGGGATTTCTCAAGCAAAATATTAAAAAAATCATGAAGTGCTGAAAACCATGACAGTGACCAAGAGAATAGAGAAAAATACTGTTATTACCACCTGGGTATATAACTGAGGTGGATGCACTGATTTTCCTGTGGACTCTGCATGGGATTTTATGAATTTTCCTAAAATATTTCAGCATATTTCTGAGATTCTGCTGACAAAATAGCCATAACAAACTGAACAAAGAAAGAGCGAACCACAAAATGGAAGCAAAGATTTTCAATGTATATGTTGGCTTCTCCTTGAGAAAATCAAGTTCCCCAAGAAAAACTTGTAGAAAGGAATTTTCAAGGCAAGGCCTCCATAGGATTAGTTGTCAAAAGGCATGAACACAGTAGAGCTCATTAACCATCGCTCAAAATGCACCAGGAACAATCCCATGCATGCTGTCCCAGTGCAAAAATAAAAATATAGAAATTGGCACATGGCAACTGTGATCTGAAAAAACCAAACTGACAACACAATTCACCTAGGGAATCTTACTCTTGTGGTTACAATGTTCCAGTACCTCACACCTTTCAGCACAAGAACCAGATAATTTAACCTCTGTAATTTATTATTTTTGTTGGGGAGGGGAAGAATGCAATGTAAAAATCGTTATACAATCAACATGTTGTTGGAAGTTACAGCTAAATATTCCTTGCAGATAAGTAATTAAATTATATGTGGATACACATGCAGGGAAGAAATTCCAGGCAATGGAACTTCTGCCCTTTAGGGACAGTATGTTTAGACATTTTGAAATTTCCTTCAAAAATTTCAGTTGCAATTTTTTATAGAAACATGTTAGCTGATTTGAAAAGTTTATTTATACTCTTACTTGTCTAGGTTTTCCAGCAATGACTGGCAGAGTATTGTCAAATATCCAGCCTCCACTGCATTATGAGACACATCTAAAACAAATAAATATACCGCAGGCTGAGGAGGACGAAGCTACAAAGTAAAAAAAAAATAATAAAAACACTCAAAAATCATATCCAAAGAAATGTCAAAAGTGATTAGTCATTAGAAAGGGGAGCAGGAAAAGAGAATACTTAGAAAAATGCAAGGTATACATAATGCAATAAACGTAATTTACTAAGCAATATGCAGATAGACTTAACCACAATCCACAGAGGTTAAAATGTTATACTTCAGGAAATAAAAAAAAGGGTATTTTAGTCCCTCCTTTCAACAGTCAATTCAAACATGACGAAAGATACAGACTTCCATCTTTTAAATTCCATTGCTCTTTCAGTACAGGACAATGTGATCCATGATACAGGATAAAAGCATTCTACCTACACCTTTTCAAAACTATGTAACAAGCTCTGTTTATTCACAATGTTTCAATTCAAAGACAGGAGAACAATTTGGTTTTGCTGCTGCTAATAATGTCATTCTGAAATAAGACTTTTCCCAGGCAGACAGGACCACCATCCCAGCAATTGTAAACTGACTCCTAATAAGAACCATTTCTTCACAATTACTAACTAGAAATTTGAAGCTGAATAAATTTGCTTAATAGTCTATTACTGGTCTTTCAAAACCTCCTCAAAATGAGGGAGAAAGTCAGAAAACACATTGCATCAGATTGAAATCTGCCACATTAAACTATACTGGATGACAACACATATTGAATTACTTTTAACTCAAAAGCTTCTGATTGTTTACACCAGCCAAAACTCAAAACATGAATTTTACTATTCCTTGGCATTAGAGGAGCTTCACAGAAAAATTAATACACACCACTAGATCAATAAGTAACATTAATTTCAAGCACTATTATATTAATATGCAATTGCTGTTGAAGTTACTATGAAAACTTTTTTTTTACCATATAGTCTGAAGAAGCAATGAATTCCACTGTAGAATTTTGCACCTCTGGCCGTTTATGAGGCTCTCCATAAGATCGTGTCAGAGGATTATACATAAATTCTTCAGGAACTATTAAAAAAAAAAAACCGTCCCAAATATAATTATATTTTTGTTAGAAAATAAAAACCATAATTGCAGCTAAATGCTAAGCACACCTCACTTATTGCAACAGCAAAAAATCCATATTAAGGATACATAAAAAAAGGAACATTTCAAATATTTCAAGCATATCTTTAACATCAAATTTCAGTAATTAGAAAGAAAAGGTTTATTTTAAGCAACAGATCCCCAACTACAAAACAGCAATGCAAGTAGAGCATTCCACAGGAAGCAGGAATCTGTACTGTTTCTCATAACCTCTGGCCTGGATTGTAGCTGTCATCATGTTTCCATTTGCATATTGCAACAGCAGTTAGTGGGATTAGTTGATTTCATTAGACAAGTAATCAGCATATTATGAATATATTTTCTTCATCTCCCCAAAGATTGCAAAACAATCTTTTGCTTCAAGAAAAAGCACAACACACCTGACTTTAGATGTTCTTCAAAATCTCTGGATCGTAAGGACATTCTCACTGTAGCCTATGTTTTAGTCTAAAATATCCCATAGATTGGTATGATGCAAATACTTGAAAGAGATTCTATAAATACAACCACCTCCTGATACAGTCACTTACCATCATTAACCCTATAGCACAGGTTGCATTTCCACCGCCTTTGATCAATGAAAGAAACAAAAGGGTTGATATAAGTCCTGCAGGATCTGCATCTCACTATTGTGCTTGATGTTATTACCGGTAATTGCTAAAAAGGAAACAATGAAAAGCGGTCACAAAGGTATGTAGTAGACTTTATGGAAAACATCTCTGTGCGGACAGTTCATAAAAGCTTCGTAAGACTACATTTTCTATCATCTTTCCTTTTAGATGTTTAGTTCAATTTCATAAGAGTAATTATGTTGTCTATTAAAAACAATCTCCCCCTTAAAACCAAAAATACCCCCATTTAATTACTGTCTTAATATAATCTCAAAATCAAAGATGTAGTAAGATCTTAAATGAAGTTACTTTAAATTATAGCTACTACGGCAAAAGGAATTATGCAAGGACAACTTTTGAGTGATTCTATACGAAATATAATGGACAGCAAACCTTACACAAAGAACACACATTTAATAAAAGAAAGTTATACCAGACAGTTATTCACATTTTTACATAAATGCTAATAAATTAGATTGAGAGGACTTGCTTAACAATTATGACTATAGCTTCAATCTTATATTGTGCTTATGTTCTATTGACAGCAAGTACCAGGCCAGTCACACATTCAAACTGAGCACCTCTCTTCAGGAGAGCTCTGTGAACACCTTTTCAGGATGTATCTGACAGTTGTGAGCCCAACACAGACAGTGGCAATTCTTCGGAGAACCACAGCCAAGCAATGATTTCTAACAATAAAGAAGAATCTTGAAGGGCTTCTCCCTTATGCATTTCAATGAAGTAGCAATTTCAAGGCTTTTTCTGTTCTCTTCCTCTCTAAATCACAGACAATTTTTTGGTACTTCTGTTAAACTTAGGACTTTGAATTAATTATATTTTATTGTTTGAATAAAAATAGAACAAATGCGTATATAAAACCACACACAAACAGAAACAACTAAGGTACTTTACCGTTAGGTCCCTGAAGGGATGCAGCAACAAACCCAAAGGAAGCTTAGCTTTGTTTAACAAAGCCTGTGTCTGTGGAATATTTGTCAATGTACATCGAAATGAGCTGAAAGGAAATAGAAACATTACATTAAAAAAGAAATTTTAAAAGAAGTTGAAAATATTGTGCTAACACCTGATTTTAAAGAACTTAGAAACTTAAGAAATCCTATGCTTTACAAAGATGATTTAATTTTAAAAAATGCAAGAAGACTTTTAAAAAGTCTTTATAAAGAAACAACAACACCACACACTCCCTTACTCCATAGTTTAGTAGTTCAGCAATGCAAGTATACCAAAACTAACTTGCAAGCAAGAGACAGAACTGCTTTAAATATAACACTAAATGATAATTAGGTATTTTTCAGTTCTTTATAAAGATTTTTCCAGTAAACCAATAGAGTATTGGTATAGTTCTCAGAATGCCATATTTATATAAGAAAACAGTATAAAAGGATCCCAAACACAGAGAGTCAAAACCTTCTGTTTTGTGTAACATGAAGGGACACTAAAAAAGCCCAATGCACAAAGAGTGCTGTCCAAAGTGTTCCACATGTAAAAGTGATTTCCAGGCATTCAGTTTTCTGATTTCTCTTTTCTGGTGGGACCATGCACTGTCACTACAGCAGTAAGGATGCTGAGTCACTTTGGGGCAATGAAGCATATCTATTATGGAATCACAAATAAAATATTTGGGGAATAGCACTTTCCATTGTACTTAGCTGCACTTGACTTGGGATAGTTGATAATACTACTTAGTGTTAATTAGAGGAAAAGGGATATAATTGCAGAATTACCATAGTAAAATATACTTAATATCAAATTATGAAGTGTATTCAGGCATAATCATAATGCTTTTATGGAAAAAATCCTGTGCAATATTACAAAATATTATGTGAAACATACTGTGCAACATTAACGTGTTTATTAAAACATTTTTTTTAATGGATAAAACAAGGTGAAGATATAGAAAAATTATTAAAATACTAAAATCAGCTACAGTCACTGCATATAATGTATTCTGATGACAGGACAGTCACAATATTTGTGTAATGATTCAGAGGATAAACTCATTTTCAGTTGAAAGGGGTTTTAATAGCTCATCACTAAGATTTAAAGTTAGGAGTCAGTTTAGACACTTTTTGACACTTTAAATAATTACTGTCCACTAAAAAATACAAGACACTGTCCCAGACCCAGTAAACTTACTCTGGACTGCAGTTTAATTTCCTAAGATCAGAATTCAAGTTAGGCACAGGTACTGGAACTGAAGACACTGGTAAAATATTTCTATCATGTGTAAGGTTTACTGGTCTCAAGCTTTCTGGCTGCTGAGAATGCTGTAGACTTAATCCTCCTAAGGAAGAGGACAGCTGGTTCACACCTGGATATTGCTGAAAAAGGTAAGAGCATGACAAACAGGTAAACACACAATCATGTTTAAAAAACAACCTTCAATCGTCTTGTAATGCCCTCCCTTCCAGACATGTATTTTAAAAAGGTCCAGAAGCAATTAGTAACAAAAGGAATACTGTACGGTAGAAATTTAACAATGCTATGGCAAATGTGACACACCTTGCAAAGGTGTATTATAGGATAAAATTAAAATTCATTACACAAATCAACACTGGAAGTCACACACAATCCTTCAATCTCTCCAGGCATAAGAAAACAAGTTACTAAAAATGCTGACACATTTTCTCTCCCACTCTGCTCTGCTATTTAACTTCTGTTACAATCAACTTTTCCAATTTACAGACACAGCCTTTAAATATTTACGTTTAAATTAAAACAAAACACCACAGAAGAGGAGAAAAGGTTAGGTTTGGAAGTCTGAGGTCTGGTAGTCTAACCCCTTGCTCAAGCAAGGCTAACTTAAAAGTTAGTTTAGGTTGCTCATATATTCATCCAGCTAAGTTTTGAAAATATCTAAGGATTGACAATTTCACAGCACAATCTGTTCTAGTGCTTCCCCACTCCCATCCTGAAGAATTTTCTCCTTATATGTCCAACCAGAATTCACTTGAAGCAACTGCTTCTTTTACTGTGTGCTCCTTAAAAGAGCCTAACTTCATCTCGCATTAAAGATGAAGCCAACCCTTTCAATTAAAAAAAAAATAAATTAAATGAAAGCTTTCTTTCAAGTCACATTTTACATTATGCCTGTGACAGTGAAAGCATTACTGGATGTTATATGCAGTAAGGAATTTCGATCACCTACCACAGCAGTTTCACTATCTTTGCCAGTTGGCCCTTACTTCAGAGAGCAGGATTTGTGTATCAGGAAGTTTCTTTTTCTAGACCCCTTCACTCATACATTTTCCTGCACTTCTTCAGTACTTGTGTCTTGCCTCAGTATCTGGCTCTTCCTGCGGGCTCATGTGTACAACAGGAATCAAGTGATTGTACACAATTTTTGGGTGTTTGAAGCTATCTTTGAGGCAAACAGAGCAGATGCAGGCAGCCTGCTCCACTACACACAGCCAGCACAAGCTCTACAGAGCTCTTTTATCTGGACCCTATGCCATGCATTACTCATAAGGTTATTTAATGCTTGAAATCACAGCTATAGCAATGCTCTCATATGCTGATCAAGTACTTCCTTATGTTTCTTCATGGTTTCTTCAATAAAGTTCAGCTCTTTCAAGCATCAAACCTTAACACTTTGGAGGTTGCTAATAACTGGTGAAGCAAACTTGTTAAGCCTAACTACTTGGAGGCACACTTAAAACTTTCATTCAAAAGCCTTCCAATAAGTTTAGAACCAGAGCTATCACATCAATATTATACCTAACAATTATTATCTCAAAAATTACAAAAATATTAAATATGAAAATAGAGGAAATATATGACACAGAAAAGGATTTTCCCATTAATTTAGTTAATTAAGTATTTTTTAAATTAAAAATACAAGCCTGTGGATAGTGCTGAAAACCAGGATGGTGTCCTGGATTACTGGGCTGCACAGGAGTAGGTGGTGTTGCATTTTGGTAGCCTGGCTGTAGTGCTGGATATCCATAACCAAAGGGCTTAGAAGCTTTTGATGTTTGGAGGACTGATGGAGAGGGAACTGGGCTGCTGGTCACAGAACGTGTCTCTGAAAAGACAAAAGAAATGCCACAGGTATTGAATATACTTATTATTTCCTTCTTAATTTAAATGTAAACTCCTTAATGCTTCAAAACAACGTTGCCATTTTGAAGTTTTTTATTATCCATCAAGTTATTTTTCTGTGCTGAAAAAATAAATTAGAAAGGAAGATTACTTCAAGAATATTGGCAGTGCATATGGAAAGATGACCAGAGACTTGTGTCACTACAAACAAAATGTTACTTTACAAAAAGAGGCAACTTGAAAAAAATATCATTTGAATTGAATAAAAATTGAACCACATTTTATTCCAACACATACATTTCATATAAACCACAAATGAGACCATTCATGCTTAGTCTCCTCTCTACCACTTCTGAAAATTGTCATAACATGACTAGAATCATTCTATGATTCTATGATTATTTCAGGAAAAGCCATGCCTACAGTTAGAGGATAGTACTGTTGGCTTAGCCTTATGTTTTGACAGTATTCATAAATGGTAGAGAAGAATCTAAGCATGGTCTCCTTTGAAGTTTCAACCTGATGCAAGTTTCTCTTGTATATATGCCTGCAACACAGTTTAGTTCTGCTATTTCTAAAGGTCAAACTGAAAGTAAGGCACAGACCTAAATCCACAGTGAACTTAATGAAACTATTCTTTAGAAATGTTTACAAATGTGAACTAAGTTTCAGAAGAATTTAAGCGTGGTGAAACCAAGTGGGAAAAGTGCAAGCAACGGAACAAAGCACTCAAGAAACCAACTGCCAAGAATTTGGCATGAACACTCCATGGGGGAAAAAAACCAAGAAAACAACAAAAAAATCCCAGCAGATTTCAGAAACCTAATGTTGACTGTTTATCTTTAAAAAAAAAAAAAAAAAAAGGAACAAGTTATTTTCAGCATATGCCTTCAGCAGAACCAAAATAATCAGTTATTAGGCTAAAGGTTAGAATTTGTAGTCCTGTTAGACTCTATGTGGATAACAATATCAGCTTTCTAACAGAGACATCTCACTTTAATCAGGAGCCCATCAAACTACAGCAAACTGCTGTGACACTCCCAGGGGCCAGAACAAAGCCAGGAGCCAGGACGGGAAGGTCCTCCAGATTAATCAAATCATTAATTTAAGATACTGGCTAAAATGCCTTGAATAGCATCTTTTCCACTTGCTCTCAATATAGCAGCTCTATAGATTTCAAGACCAAGGTAGTCAGCTAATAGGTTTGTTTAGAACCAAGCTGACAGTTCTAGTACTTTTAGAGCTAAGAGTAAGCAAAACAGCAGCCATTACCTTTAGATGAAGAAAAATAAAAGAAAATAACCTGATCCAAGCGTCTCTGCAAGCTGATATTGTTGGTCTCCCTAAACTTCTGTGATGTGTCAGCAACTATTAGCAGCTCCTAATGTCAACAACACAATCAGGCATATAGAATAATCTAGATAAAAATGCTGCTTTCACACTTGGCATATTTTCAGCACTACCCTCAACAATGCAAAGTATGACTTATGATTCAGGGAAGTTGTATTAAATGGTTATATGAATTTCAGTGTTAAAACTGTGAGAAATTATTTTAAAAGGCATGTATGTTTCCTCTGAAGATTTCCCCTGTTCCTTTCATAGGCACTGCCTCTCATCTACTTGGAAATTAACAATAAACAACACCAGAAATAATTAAAAAAAGCACATTTATATACTTAAATAAATAATTCAAAACAAACTGCTTACCTGGATAGCCACCTCCTTCCAGGGCCTCATAATTGTTCAAAACAGGAGAGGCACTGCTTGTAGTAGAGGAGCTGTCAAGTGCTGGGGGAGGAAAATAGTTTAACTTTAGGGACATCAGAAATAGCAAACTTTTGATAAATAAGAGACTGAGATATTTTTTCCTAAAACCTTTGATAAGAAACTGTCAAGAAAGATCCTGGGGAAAAAAAAAACATCTCTTCAGCCCTAAGACCTGAAAACTATTACCACTGTAAAGAGGAGAGGGAGAAAACATAATCAGCATGATACTAAAAACAAACAAGCACATGCCCAACAAACAGCAAGAGAGAGCAATGGGAAAAACATAAAAGCAATAAAAAAAGTTGTTTCTTGAAATAAAAAATATTTTTCTATTAAACCAATAATATTTTTCTATTAAACCAGTTGACTATGTCAACTGAGGTCATGCACATTTTAAAAACAGTCCATTCATGACTTTCTTCACAACTGCAAGCAACAGAAGATTCCCATCATCTTCAGAGTGATCATCTACCATCCCCACCTTCAAGCCAAACTGACAAGTGTTTAATTCTTCCCGCCTTTCTGTCCCGTTCTAATTCAGAGCTAGGTTTCCTTTCAGTCTAAAGATTCTGTTTACCATTATCATTGACATGAGGTCTAACTTCATTTGGTATATTACAATTACTCTTGGCTCAGACTAAAGCAGCTAAGTAAAAAGTAACAATGTAAACATAAGTACCAAAAGTTAACTAGGCACATGTAAAAAAGCACAACGAGCACATACATAGCTGGTAGGACTGAAGAGACTTGATGGCTTAATTTTTAGTTCAATCTATGCAGATCTTGAATATCTTACTGTAAAATATCTGGCAAGCAAAGAATTATTTAAAAACATCTCTTCCAATGTGATTTCATAGACATTTATTTCCAGAGAAAAGAGGGCCAAGAAGATAAAAGGCATCTTCTCTTTAAAACACATCCAGCCATGAAGTGCGATAGAAAACTTCTATTTAAGAATTAAGAAAAAAAAAAAGAAAATTGTACGTATAATTTTTGTGGCAGAAAAGACTGAAAAGATTCACTGATACTGTTCTATTCCGAAGGATCAACCATGACCACTCATCCCATTGCAAAACTGAAAGTACTTCAAGGGAGAACTTCAATAATGGATCATTTAAGACTTCCAAAAAAAGAGACTCCTTCATATGAAAACATAACATGACTGACATCTGGGACACAGAAATACCACAGCACCATTCTGACAGCATAGATAATTCTTGAGCATTTTGCCTTTAAAGCAACCAAGAAATAGAAAAGCTATTAAAAAAATCCATAAGACTAACAATAATATATGATTTAAAGGAAAATTTAATTCTGTGACATTCATAAAATCTTAGTTTTCAGATGTTCACTGTAAATTTTCTTTTCTTTTTTTTTTTTTTTTTAGTCCTGGAGGTTAAAAAAAGTACATAATTGCAAGATTTTATTTTCTATTCTAAAAGCTGAAGGAAACAAGATTCATGACTTTTTTTACCCTGATCAGGATTAGGGCTTTTAAAGCTTTGCTAAGTCTCACTACAGGAAAGTCAAAATATATTTTTGTTAGGTCAACAAACAATTGAGAAGTTACACAAATACACGCAACCAGATTTCCAACACCTATTCTTCATAAAACCACTGTGACAGTCTGAATCAGGAATTTTGTCTACTGAAAACTGTTCAGTATTTGCACTAGCTCCTGCTGACGGCATAAAACAGGATGCTGCTTATTAATCAGACAGCCTCTGTATTGAACCTCGATGTCCTTTCACTCTTTTCCATAAGATAAATGTAAATGCAGTGATACCTCCAAGGCTACAGGGTTTAGTGAAGTACAGAACTTGAGAGAGAATGATGGTAGGGAGTATGAAACTTTGTTTAGGGAACAAAGTAAGGAGAGAAAGGTTACTACTGATAAAAAACCCAATCAATATAATTTGACAGAAACCTTGGCATGTAAACCCAACATACTGTTCTTAATTATGACCTGAATGTCATCATTGGTTTGTTATATTCTTCACAGAATTATTATGAGTACACTACATTATTTTCAATATTCTAGGTGATTTAATATTTTAATAAAACTGGCACTTTTTCTTTTCTGACAGCATGAATTATAAAATGAAAGAAAAAGCTACAGGTTTCCTTTTCCTAATCAATACTAAAAGCCAGCAGTACAAGCTATGTGCTATTACATCTATTAACAAGGTTAGTAGGCTAATGTTAATCTCAAAAAGCTTTTTATACCATTACTACTCAGGCATCCAGCAAAGACTTCTTTAACTTCCAAAATAAAAGGTTACCAAAATTGAAGCAACTAAACTGGCGAGGAACATTAAACTCACAAAACAAGGTCATTCTGACAAAAAACACAGGCAGAATCCGTGCAACCAAGTGCGTAAGACTTCAATCAATCAGGACAAACTACTTCTTAAAAAAAAAAAATCAACAAACTTTTAAAGTTTTCTACAAAGCAAGCAGATTAAAACTGAATCTATGTGCCTGACCATTGAGACATACACCTTTAGAAGGAGAAAAAAAACAGCAGAGATTAATTTGCTGTCCTAAAAAGCAGACTTAAAACCTCTCAATGTTTACTACCTTAATTGTATGAGTTCCTTACATATAAAATGAGAAACAAGGTAAACACTGTTTAATGTCATGATACAACTGGCACCTGAAAAATTATCAGTCTAAGTTCTACTGCTAGTTACCTTCAGTTAAAACTCACTGCAACTCAAAACACTAAAAATATGAGAGTTTAGCAAGTTGTGAATATTACTTTGTTAGAATCATAAAACATCTGATATTAACAAAAAAAAAAGGACCTATTTGTTGGTCACTATTGAAATCCTTTTTGTTTACTATACTAGTAACAGCTGGGAAATTTCAAGCTGAAGAGTCAGAGTGATGCTTTGTCTTAAAGGAAGAAAAAGTTTCAGGGGATAGAAATATGGGGAAAACCTTGAGTAGGAAGATAACAAGATACTGGTGTAAAGCTAAAGCCAACCTGCTTCCTCATCCTCCTCATCCTCTTCCTCATCATCTGAACTTGATGACAAGGGAGCTGGTGCAGAGCTAGCTTGATTATTAACATATCCACCATACTGCATGCCTGTGAAGTGGAAAGCACAAACATCAGAGTCAGACAGACAGGAAAGACGAGAAACGAAAGTCACAAATCATTGCATTGAAAGTGAGAGAAAACAGTTGTTCCAGAGAAAATCCCAGCATGCAACAAGTTAAATCTACAACCCTAGAAGCAGTTTTCAGTGGGCTAGTTCAGCAAAATATTAGTAGCGTATGGAATTTAGCAGATAATTTTATGTGTGTGTATGTGCATGTATATCAGGAAATTAAACACACAGACTTCCTACATATCTTTTTAATACCAGTTTTTTTAGTGGAGTACTTTCATGAATTAATACACAGATATAAAAGAATTATTTCCACATAAATTCAAATTATGTTACGAAAATGTTTAGTATTAACTTTTGCTTGGCACACCTGTCTCTTTTAAGACAAGAATAATTCATGTTGGAATTCTGTCAGAAATGAATAAAATATACTGCTGTTGCCACATGCAAGAGTACAAACACATATAGAAAGCACAATACAGTCAGTGAAATTAAACCTGAAAATCTGGGTTGTCTTATGTTACATGAGTGCCTAAATTCGGGCTCATAAGCATGCACTTCTAGTATCTGGTGATAATGCACCAACTGTAGCTGCTGTCACCTCAACAGCACAACTCGGTATTGTTTTAGTTATTTGTTTGCTTTTACAATATCTACTCAAAGCATATGTAAGCAATACACAAAAGCAACACATAAACATACCATTTTAAAACAGAGTAAAGCATGCAGCCATGGCTTATAATTAACTTCCTACATTACTTGTTACTGATGCCTTTTCAGCCTCTTTAAGAAATCTTACATTTCTCTTGTGACAAGAGAGGGTTAGCAAGGATTTTAAATATGCTTTTAGTCAGACAGTGACATCTGAAATAAATATAAGTGATCACTGTTTCTCTCTTATCAATTTAATGGATTGCTATGGCAAGAAAATATCCTAAATATTCAAAACTTGTCAAATATTTGGGAATTTGAGGCTCCTTCCCTTTGTAGAAGTAGTGTGGCACCAATGAGTAGCATTCTTTACTTTAATACTGTAAGGTATTACAGAAGTGGTATGTTATGCATAATCTGAAACCATCATGGTAACTAATAATATGCCCATCCATTACTTCAGTCAACTGTATCAACCTTTATTTTATTGAAAATATAGTCTATTAATGCTGTTAGTTTCACGTTTTTTTAAAAAGGGTTGCCAAATGAACCCAAGAGGAACTGTTTAATTTCACTTTAAAAACCCTAACAGAATCAAAGTAAAGACTATCTACTCAAATACAAGAAATAAAAACAAAACAAAGCAAAACTATATAACAACATTCTTGAGAAGGTGAACTTTCATGTAGAGAATGGTGCAAGAAAAGATGGGCATTATATTCCTTTATCTGGTGCATTAATACTTGTAGAATTAAAATCAAATTTCTCTGTAATTCAAGTAGTCACAACAATGAATGAAAAATCATCTTGAGTTCTCAGTGCTTCAGTTTTTCCATACTGCTAAAACACAGGGCTAATTTGAGTAATTTCTAGTCCCATCTTAAAAATTCACTGGATGTGCTTGGGAAGGAGAATACAAGAAAATTATTATCCGTGCAAGAATAGACTAGAGCTAATAAACTATGTCTTTTCTCAGGCCTGGGAGAACTACTGAGGAATAAAACAGAACAACTGTATTAATGTGAAAGAGAGAGAAAAAAAACTATCTTAAAATCATTTACATGCAAGTAAAGGAGAAAAAAGTCAGGATAACAGAAAGGGCTGCGCTGTAACACCAAGAACCAAATTAAATGTAGACCTGCCCAGTGTGAGAGTGTAAAGATATGGATAACAAGAAGAAAGAAACGATATCCACCTGGAAAGTGCATGCCAATGCAAAAATTCCAAGCATGCGCAGATGAGAGAAAAGGACTGGATTACCCACTACTGGCGACGTGCATTAAGGATGCAGGTGTTTGGAAAGAATACGGAAGAAAAGAGATTAAAAAAATATGCTAGCAACATAAAAGTTTAGGAATCATGAATTATGTCACTATGAATGCTGTGAAGACCAGGCTGGTGTGATTCTTATTAACCTTATGAGTTGCATAGATTTATTTTCATTGCCAACAGTATTACAGATTTCTGCCTTTAAGACTGTTGTGCTAGTACAACTGTCCAGCCAAAAAAACCTCCTGAGAATAGATATGGCTAAAAAATAATATAGTTTAAAAAGTCCTTGTCAGGTGGGAAAGTCTCCCATTCTAGTTCATTGCTCAGCAATGCCAATAGTAGGCCAACACAGGGTAGGAAAGGAATTGAAGGCAGAAATGGGTGGCTGCAGACAGCAGTTCCAAGTGCCATCATGTGCCCAATCATGTTTTATAACGTTGTGGTAACTTCTGCTTAGTATTTTTTACAGATTTGATAATGGTGTTAAAATCTCCCACTTTTAAAACTGCAAAAGCCAATTTTGAAATAGTTATTTGAGTTAGGTCATTCCATAAATCTGGCCTAAAATGCAACCATGTAATTTAAATAATCAGATTTCTTGTACTGGAAATTTCTAACCCTACAAGCAGTGTACCTGTGACATAAAAATACTGCACTCTAGGGCTTTATCCCACTATAATTTACAGATATCTAGAAATGTAGGTGGCAGAACACAGAAGATAAATTGGGATAACAACATATTTGCCTGTGAAATAAACCAACTATTTAGGTATTTTAAGTTCATTCACCCACACCATAAAAGCGTTTCAAACATAAAATGCACCTTAGATTTGTACAGATAGTTATGTAAGATTAAATAGGCTTCAATACATTTTAAAGTTTTTGTCCTGTTAGAAGATAAGAATTCTTTAGTTTTTATAGGAACGCCCCAAGAGCAGCATAAAACAATGTAATCCTCTTTAAAAATTAACTCAAATTAATTCTGTTTTTTTCAGAATGCTTTAATGTAGACAATGGTATTCTATAATTTAGAAAAAAAAAAATCAAGTCCATCTGATCTCTGCAGGAGAAACATACTTGCAATTCTAAGCCAGAGAAATATTTGGTACATGTGTTCTGTTTTTTCAGTAGGTTCGCTTCCACAAATAGTTAGTACATTTAATTTTAGATAAGAAAGTTGTTGATAAAAAAGCAATAGTACATTATCAGACTCTTCAAACAAAACTAATGAAGAGTTTGAAGTCTTCCAAAGATCATAAAACCATCATCTGAACACAGAAACTTACGTGTGATGACATGTAAATAGATAAAATTAAATCAATAGAAACTCCTGACAACTTATCTTTATACTGCCAACATATTGCTGTTTTTAAAATGTGCTCATTCAGCTACTGCTTTCACCTTCACTTAGTGGAAGCACTTGAATACAGGGAAGTTCAGCAGCCACTGCACTGATCTGTAGCTGCTGTACCAGGTGTTCACACATTTCACAGGAATCACTTCCACAACACATACACTGCACATCAAGGCAATCACAGTTAAACAGCTAAAAACCCTTTTTCTCCTTAAAAACATGGAAGAAGAAGCAACACTATTTTTCTAGCATGTACACCTAAAAAAAGGTGTCACAGATACAAAGGTGATACAAAATCTATCTAGCACCAAAATCAACTATAAAACCACACAAGAGCCACATTTCCAATAATGGACATATCTTCCTTAAAATAATACACTCTACACAGGACTTCATAGCAATTAACTTTTGTTTTCCCTCTAATATATATAGAAATGATTGACAAATAACCTGTAATCTGCATTCTACCAGAAAAGGGAGGAAATGAAGGGAAAAGGGTAATTTAGTTATTTATATCAGAGGATTCTGTAATTTAAGAATAAAAAAATATGCTGTGACAATCACACACCATGTGGTTGCGAATTATTTTTAACACTAGAGATACCACATTGTTCTGTTAAAATTAATGCCTACTTCCACTCCTTAGGCAGAATTCCTTATCCATAAGAATTTAAAATTCTGAAACTGCTAAGAGAAAACATGGCCAAAATAAAAAAAAAAAAGCCGACAATTAGATTTGGAATACTAGATACAGAAACATGTAACAATGAAGAGGCAAGTTAAAACATCAGTGTAAAGTTTAATTTAGCTGAAGAAGGCTCAAGAGTCAATTGATTCTTTGTCAAGATGCTGCCAATATCAGAAAAGGCAGGAGCTTATACAAACACTCCTGTTTTCCAACAAGAATTCTTGCAGCAGCTTTCCATGGACACTTACAGCTAGGCAATAAGAAAACAATTCTAGGTGGAACTTAAAACAAAATTTCAGCTTGAACTTAATCCTCAAACTCATTGTTTCCACAAATAAACTAGCATATTTCTAATTTACACTTCATTTTTCAATAAAGACTAATTCAAGCTAATTTTAAGACCTTTCTGTAAGAAATTAAAGTAGTGAGCAGCTCTTTAGAATAAGGGAACTAAAAGAAGGGTTTTTTTGAGCAAGAGACATGTAAGACTGCCAACAAGACAAACAAGCCAAAGGCAACACACGAACAAAGGAAATCAAACACAAACACTAAGAGGAGCTAGAACTAAGGTGACATAAAACTCTACCACTAAGGGAGCTTGATGAGATGCCAGAGATGTGCTCCAGTCAAACACAAAAAAGCAGCAATTAAACTTCCAGCATTCACGTGTGCATGTGGAATTGAGTGAAAGTCTGCAGTGTGACTTCCCATTCCCTTTTAGTACCTTCCTGGAGGGCCAGCTCTGGTGACTGTGTAACAGATGGTGAAGATGGTGGCTTTGAAGACAGGCTTGGAGCAGGTGACCTTACTGACGACATCACAGCAGAGGAAGCAGATGTTCCAACTCCAGGCTTGGTAAATGGAACATTCTGGCTCATTGAGTGCACAGGCTGTGAAGAATCAATGCCACCTGAAAACAGCAGAAAGCACGAATCCTTTGTATGTACTTTACAGACAATTACACAACACAAGCTGTCACATTTGATTCCACAGTAACTACAAAAAACAACACAGTACTTCAAAGACAGATGCCTTCAAACAAATATCTATGGAAAGATTGGTTGCTTTAAAAATTCAGTACCTATAGTGCTAAAACTCCATTATAATGAATAAATTGCTCTGACAACAGCAAAAAAGAGGAGGTATGATGCAGTAAGAGCAAGACTAAGCTGAAGCTTATTTTTGATACATCCCCACAATGCTGTACTTTCACAAGTTACTCTTCCCAGGTAAGAGGAATATAGTCCACCTGAAATAGGTCCCCTCAACATTCCTCCCATGGGAGGAAACCTTGTGCAGTATTATGCCTCCCTTGCAGTGCCAGCACTTTGCAATATGGGTTATGAGACCCATATTCCAAACAATCTGTTGCAATCAACCCTGAGTATTCCACAAAACTTCTGATGTGTTTTAGACATCTGGACTAGATATAATCTACTTCAAAAAAGATTAATGCTTTGAGAGGTTTGACATAGCCCAGCTGAAACTCCTATCAGACAAGGACAACATAATTAAGTTAGCTCTCAACTAAGGGTTGCTTTTTGCTTATGAAATGAGAAAATGTGTATTATGTTTATTTCTAGAAAATCCTGAGTGACCAAGCTGTTAAAAAGGAGAGGAAATGGTTTTACCAAAAGTACTCAGTAAACAAACACAGAAATTAAGCAAGAATAAGATTCTCCATTTGTAGAATACTTGTTTATGTTACAGAATTTGCTAGAGGATGCAGATGTGATATTAACTTTGCATTTTCTATATGCAGCACATATAGCTGCGTCATTCATATAGTCCCTGACTTTTCCTTGAATAATGGAGGTGATATCACAAAGAACTTCATGGGCAAGTTGACGTTTCCTTTAGAAGGTGAAGAAGAGGCAGCTTAAAATAATCCTTCTGTTTCTATTATTTACAGGCAAAATTAACAGCACACATCTTTATTATCTCAAGGGAACTTTTATATGTTTTGTAATTTTAAAATCTGATGTTGAGCATACACACAGCTTTTTCGGACGTCTTAACAAAATTATGGCTTTTTCCAATGAACATGCAGAGCATTTTTTTACTGCAATGGACCTGCTATAACCTCTGCTTCTACACACTGTCTTGCAGATTCCCCATGGGAGCTTCAGAACCTGTCAGCAAGAATGCCATTATTACAGCACCTTCCTCAAGCAAGGTATGCAAGATGACAAAGGAAGTTCTTTGCCATATTCACATGCTCACTCAGGCTTTGTAACAGGGAGCTGTTTGTAGGGTGATAGTATTTTCCACATTGCAAGGTCAATATCACAATGCTGACAGCATCAAGCACTGCTGTAGAGAATGCTAAATGCTGTAATGTCAGTGTCACGTGCTCAAAGCCAAAACGAATTTACACTTGGATTAGGTGAAGATGTATTATCTTCCTGCCAAGTACTAGTATCTATTCTCAAGCAAAGGTTATTCAATTAACTTCAAAATTACGTGAATCCTTTAAATGCATTGTAAAAAAAAGTTTCTAAACTTTGAGAAACAACACATATTTTTTCTTTGTACAAAAATACAACCTGCAAAATTAAATGTTAAACTTTATTTGGTAACTCCATAAAGGTTTTAAATGCCATAAGCAACCAAGTCCAAAGGAAACACTTGAAGAAAATTCCCATTTAAAACCACATTGTTGGTAACTATCATCACATGAAACAATCTATGGTGAGAGAAATTACACTATCACTTTTTTTTTTCCTCTGGCCAATGAGAAGATTGCATTCTGTCATACAAGTATCATTTCAGGATTGCTCATTGTAGCTCAAGACAAAACTGGACTGGACACCAGTTTAGAGCACACGTTTCCCATCACCTTACCCAGGACAAACAATCAGGCCATATAGTATTCCCATCAACTGATGTCATGGGAAGTCAAGAGTTTTGTCAAGCTGTGATAAATATAAACCCCATTCTCAGTGACAGTATTTTCTGGTTTTCACATTCAACTCCTCACCTTCAATGTGTACTGAAGTTTTCCCTTCGTGCCTCTCAACCACGAACACCTCTAGCACTAACAATGATCAAGCATAACGATCTACAGCTAAAAGGCATATTACAGAAAGAATCTGCAGAACTGGGCAAATTAGCATTGTAATTCATCATTTTTCCCTATACATCATGACAAAGATGTCATTTAATTTCTAACTGGAGACCTAGAGGTCATAGTAAAAAAGTATCACCACAGCATCTCCTCAAAATTTCCGAAGAGATGCAAGAATTATCCTTGAATTGCTTCAGCTGTGATCTTGATTTCCTGCCCTCACAACCCTCAAAATCCCACACACCCCCTGCATCAAACAACACAATTTCTAAGGAGAGAGGTATCACCTCCCTGCAGCTTGTTTTCCAATAGCATCCTTTGCCCCTGACTTTCAGTACTGGCTGCAGTCCTTCCCTTTTTCTCAACCACACCCATGTTAGCAGATTTACAGGATTACAGCCTGCATTCCTATGGAACTGGGGCAGCAAGGACTTTACATCCTTCTCTGACATAAGGGGAGCTATGCGTGTGAGATAATGAAATTAGAGTGTCTCCTGCTCAAGCAGACTGTCCATTGCAGGACGCAAAGAAATCCATGCCATAAAGCCTCAGAAGTTCTCCAGCTCCCTCTCCTCACGGAGGAGTCTGGTAAGATTCAGGCATCCTGGCTGACATGCGTGCTAACTTGAAAAGCACCAAGAATAATGAGAACTTCAGCTGAAATAAACTGGAAAAACATTTAAAAAGCTACTGACCTAGAAAGACAAAAAGCCTAAATAATACAAAGTATGTCATTTACATAATGTAACACTCCTGGAGAGATTTTTACGAACACTGTTCTGCTGAAATACAGATCTTAAAGATTTAAGAGGGTGATTTTGCAGGGTTAAACCTCAAAGGAGAAAAATCTCAAATTAGAGATGTTTATATTCTACTTTATTTATACTTCCTAAAGCAAAGCAAATTATTCTCACTGGCTATTATTCAACAAGACCAGTCAACTATCAGCAAAAAAAAAAATCCTCTTAAAATAAATTTGATTTCTTCTACTGAAATCTCAGCAAGCTTGCTGAAAATACTTCAGCTGTTTCAGAAATGGGCTGCAAAAGTTTTAGGAAAAGACTTTCTTGCAGTTCTATGTCCTTAGTACACAACATACAGAAGTTCAGAGGTTTGATCTCAGTAAATTCAACATGCTGGAGGCTTTATAAGGCTATACATAAAATTGGATTTTTTAAGAGACCAATTTAAGTCCAGTGGTGACAACATTCTTGATTCAAGTAAAAATCAGCTCAGAAATTAAACAACTTCTGAAAAATTCTCACCAGCCTAAGTTTCCTGAGTAAGTCCTGTTTGAGCACACAGATTTTATTAACACCTCATTCTACATAAAGGTTTCATTTTCATCACAGAGAGCTTTCAGTGCGGACTGTAAAAAAGCTGCTTTGGAAAAATACATTAAAACTGTAGCATCTTGACTAATAGTCTGTCTGCAGTTTGTTTATTTGTAATTCAGAGACTGTAAGGGCATCTTTCACAGCACAGGGGCAATGACAACAAACTTTTACTGGCATCCCGATGAACAAGGGGATACTGTATCCAAGTTCCTTCACACAAACAGTCATAGAAAGCACACTTAGGAATTTCAGTAATTTTTTTTTTTAAGTAGTTTAGCTAAAAACTATGCACAGAACAGACAGCAGCTGTTCCCCATTGCTACTTCTTCCTGAAGAAAGCAAGGAGAATGAAATATTCAGAAAGTTTCCTTCCAACAGATCATTCATTATTTCCTTATGCTCCTTGTGTATTGTATTTCGACACTTTCCAAGGATGTACAAGAACTGGCAAATAATTTTCAAAATCCAACCTCTTTTCTTAAAACCTGAAAACAAATAGAATGCTATATATAAAATGACTCCACCTGAGAACAGTAAGACTGCACTGGGAAATTTAGAAAGCATCTCAAAACCAAACGAATTATGCCAGGATCAAACAATTACTATAATTACTTTACAATTTTATTATTATGCCTTTATTTGTAATTATTTAAGTATTTTACTATCTATGTGTTGTAGCAATTGGATTTTTAATACATTTCAGCCAAATATGTCGAATTCTAGATTAAAAGAAATCAGATATCATTGGAGGCAGTTTGTTTAACCCTAGACATCAAAAATGGTTTGAAGTGTTCAAGGTTTAGTAATCAAACTGTCCAGATCTTCCTTCAGCCTTGCTATCAGTTGCTATGTTTATCTGCTTTTCTTTGTCAGCAAATACAGAATCATTTGTGTGCTGAGGTTAAACCAGAGTTCAGGGAAAAGAGAAAAAAATTATTTTTTGCAGATAATTCACTTCCAGAAACCTGTGCACTGTGCAGTGAAGCACAGAGCATGCTTTACCAGCAGTTTTACAAGCCCAGAAACAGTCTGCGTGTGGTTTACCTATTGAGGCCTACAGTCTGGCAAACCAACCAAGGACTGCAGTGTTACCCGAGGACAACAGAAACAGTGGATCAGTGTTTATTTTCATAACCGCAAAGTTATGAGCGTCCATGACACTGCATTATCACAGCCAATTCTATCATTAGTTCTTCGAAATTCAAGTGCAATATTACTACTTTTTCTTTAGGCCATATACTAACTCAAATCACCCCCTTAAGAGCAGCATTGAATGGTTCAAAAATATAACTACTGCTCATATTGCTCTTCACTGTCTGGTCAGCTCCACTGTTCCACCTTTAAAACAGTCGCTCATTACAAAAAAAAAATTGCTATGAACAAAGCCTTTCAAGACGCCTCTATAGGAAATAAAATTAACAAGCACTGGAATTAAAAACTTCTGCAAATAAAACAGTAACAATTTGAACAAACAATAAGTAGTTTGCATATGCCTACTTCTGGAAAGACGCCTACATTCTGTCCAGCTGCAGATTCTACACTCAACAAAGTCAACTTTTTTGGCAGTCCTTGAAAGAATCAATTTTTACGCATAACCATGAAATGCTGGTAACTTCAGGAGCTTCTCAAGGACCTCCCTATTTTTCTTTTTTAAATGGTATTTTGTTTCATGGTTTGAAAATACTGGAGAAAATTACACAGAGCACTCATCAGCACAGAATTCAAATCTACTAATACTAAAAGTAATAATAACTGAGCTGAGGATGACACTCTACATCCTAGTCTTGGGAACAGGCAGAAAACAACGCTGAAACTAAATTCAAACTGTGGATTGAATGAGCTTCATTTAAGCTTAACTGCTTTTCCCAAAAAGAGTTTTACCAAAGCCATATTCTTTCTTAAGTCCTTGGTCTGAGAAAATCTCAGCTACTAGGACTCCTAAAACAGTTTCAATGTTATACTATAATCTGAAATATCTAACAGTAAAAAGAAAACCTAGTTATGTAGCATCTGTCTTTACTAGAGAAAGCAAGCTGTAGTCTGGCACTGCTTACAAGTCAAAACTGCATGAAGTCAGAAAGTCCCCAGCTCAGAAAGAAAATAACACTGTTGCTCTCTCCTCTGCAGAACAAGATATTTCATTGTGAAGGTACTCCCACATCTCCAATTTCTTCCATGCTTCCCACTAAGTGATACCCCATGAACTGGTACTCAGTTTTCCTATGAAACAGAAGCTGAAACAATGAATGAGGACTGAGTGTACTTGCCCTTAACTGCACCTTTACAACTTTATAGGTACATCCACATTAAAACCATCAAGTTGTTGCTTGCAAAAATCAGCTACAACTTCTTAACTCTTTCAAATGCTTATCAAAAATACTAATTTAAAAAACCCAACTGACTCAAAATCCATGTAGGGTTGCACTTTTTCCCTGAACTTTGTGAGAAAATGCACGTGTTTAAGATCCAATTATTATAGAGATGCCTCTGCCTGAATTATGGTGCAAATTAGACCATATGCCAAAGTCAATAATATGAATTTTACCTAAGAGTAAAAGAAAAAAAAAAAAAAACAGAGGAAGGACCAGAATGGAATTCCCAAGTGCAGAGAGAATAAAACAAAAAGAGAGGGAAGAAGAAAGAAAGGGAGTGACAAGTGACGGATAAAGATGCATCAAGAAACAAGGGTAGACAAGAAAAATGCCTCAAATCCTGCAGGCACCGCCAGGCTGAGAATGAAACATGATCCGACATCGTTGGGAACTGTCCAACTGTGCAGGACACAAGAGTTAAAAGGCACAATTACATATGTGAAATGTTATCAAAGGAAGCAGAAAAGCAAGATTGGACAGTATTTCAGGAACCCCATATAAGAGATGACAGCAATGTGTTATACAAACCAGTTATACAAACCTTTTGTGAAGGAAATCCCAACATTCATGGTGGATGTGATACAAGTGTACTGGCACATCCTTAGAAGAGGTTACCATAGAAAAAGTGAAGAAATACCAACATCATCACAAACACATTCAGGAACTCCCAACTGTGGCAGACATCGTATTTGTGAAGACAGCCCAGGCTCTGGCCTCAGAGTGCTCAGCACTTCTATAGATACGGTATGTGTGTCTGTGAGTAAAGCATGTCCTGTTGCATCACCTTAGCACCAATAAAGTTTCAGTGAATACCACGGGCATTGGGCAGCCACAAGCCAGCTGACACCAGGCGTGGACAGCACATGGGGATAACAATGGACTCATATCATGACGTGTTTCATACCATCCAAACGGGACAAAGGTTAGGTGGACAGGCTCTACACTTAATATGGAAAAGCAATATGTACAAACTATATGTGTTTGATAAACAGAAAGATATTACCACCTGGAGATCCAGACAGTGTCCTGTTAGTCCTCTTCTTCGTGGTGAGGGTCCCACACAACAGAGCCCAGTGGATTAATTATGTTCAGATGTACATGGGAACTCCAAGCACTTCCCCTTCGTTGCAGGCAGGGGAGTTTTACACTGTCTTTTACAACACTGTGGATCTGTTGTAACACTGGATCATATACACTCCTTTGGAAACGGAGTCTGGAGAGTCTTTGATGGTTTTGACCCCTTCTCAAGTCAGCACACTTGAGCCAGTTATGCCCCATCAGAAGGGATGAATATCCTCAGGCATAAGAGTGACAGTTGTGTAAGGAATGACAATTGGTGTGACAAAAAGTACCAGCCTGCTTCCACAGGGCCTGCTTCTTATCTGGCTCAAAACCCAGCTTGTAGCCTCCGGTGGTGGGTGTTCACTCTCCCTATCTTGTGTGCATTGAAGGCTTTCCTATCACACACACCACACCCCCAAAACTCTCCCCCTAACAAACCTGGCCTCAGCGAAACACCCTGCTGCCTCCACAAATGGCTGATTGTTTTGAGTCATTGCCATTAACATTTCAGTCTCTCACAGTGTCACTAAGGCAAAATTTAAAGAAACAACAACCATGACTTAGAAAAATTCCCCAGCCAGAAAAGAAAGAAGTATCTTTGTGAATACCAGACATATTTCAGAAATTACACATTCCTTCAGAACAGCATGTAAAAGCTTCCTTCCGAGGCCACTCACATGAAAATCACACAAATAACTACAATCATCCCCTAAATAGTGTATTCTTTTGTATCTCTCAGTAGAAACAAATAGCAGCTGTTTTGAGGACTGTGGTAACCAAATTAGAAAACCTACAAGAATGAGTGACTCAACTCAGAATTACATTACAGAATTCCAAACAGTGAACAAAAACAAGCCAACAACAGCACACAATTACTTATGTTTCCCAGACAAATTTGGAAGTTGACTATCATTCAAGTAACACCATACCTGTATTTTTTTGGTTGTTTACTTTAGCAACTGATCCAGTGAGATTCCTACTGAGGTTGTCTTGCACAGACTGAGCAGATGAAACAGTTGATAGTGTTGTATTATATCCCACAGGAATGTGCTGTTGAAGGGTATGAGGTACTGATGTACTCTGGCTAGAAAACGCATTTGTCTCTTTGAACTGTCCAACAGCAGGTAGACTCTGAGAGGTAAATGTCTGCCCATACACACCGCCAGCAGCCACGGAAGGATAGGAAATATTAGGATACATGGCACCAGAAACCACAGGCATGGCGTAGTAATCAGAATTAAGGGGAAATCCCTGAGATGCAACTGAAGAGCTGACAGAAGTGCTGTAGTGATTATCAAATGTTGAATACGACTGCTGAGCGCTCACATGTGAGTAGGATGCAGACGATACTGCTCCTTGAACAGATCTGTCACTGGACCCCCCCGAATGAGGAGGAGTGCTGTCGTACAATTGCTGTGATTCCTGTGCATTCAACACATTGCTACCCACAGATGTCAAAACATTTTGTGCTGGTGCTGAGTAGTAACCAGGGTAGTAACTGGCTCTGTACTGATTATCCAGATGTGAAGCAGCAGCTTTATTGGGCACTTGGGAATAGTGTCCTGAAGGGGCACTGTAGTTTGGAAGATGTGAGCCATAGCCAGAGGGGAACTGCATCTGACTCTGCATAGGACCTGAAATGAAGAGAAAACATGACATGTATGACATGACATGCTAGTAGTGCCAACGGACTCTGCACTTGAATTAACAAACAATTGCTCTTTTTTTTTTTGTCACTATTTTTGAGTTTGATTCCCATCAGCAGAGAGAGAATAAACCAAGCATAACACATGCAAATACAGTATCTGAAGTAATTTGCAAACACACAAAGTAGCAGAAAAACTGATTGCTTACATTCTTGAAAGAGGTTCCCATCCCATGTTTGCCTCTCGTTTGTATTTTGAATATTTTTAAGTGTTTATAGGAGGTTAATACTTAAAAAAACAGTGAGCAACAATAAGCACCAAACTAACACAAGAGTTTGGCTTACAGAAACTGCCTGAATATGGAAACTGAAAAGCTGCAGTCAAATCAGTATGTCAATACATAACAATACAGGTATTCCTATTTACAAGTCTTCAATATAATGGCCAAGATAAAGAGTTGCAGGGCAGTTATATTTGTCCTCCATGTCCTTATGTATTATGATTTCAGGAAAACTGAAGTTGTTATGAAACTACAGAGTATTTGACAAGGCACATCATTTTAATTTACTGCCTGATACTTGCAGTTGTAAGAGATATTGGAATCAGAGAAACTGACCTCTGGTATCACTGCAATTGGCTCTGCAACATTAGAGAGTAATTACATACTGGCCCAGAAAGGGTCAAACAAGTGCTTGCTTGCTAGAGACCAAATGTTAACTATGTCCAAACTGATTCTGTCAGCCAACTGCTCCATGGGAAATCTCGAAGTTCTTCCTCACGTCCTATTCCTTAACCCTGTTTTTATTTTTAGTGAACCACAGATGCTTTTGTGTGGATAACCTGCTTTTTTAAAATTCCCACACCCTATTGCTTACATCACGCCAAATGACTATGGTGTTATTTCCCACTCCTTGGTCAATAAAAACACAAACACAGCACTGGCCCACTCACAAATTAAATGGCAGCTGAGGTAATAATGAATAGTTGATTCTCATGCTTATATTTACAATAATTACAAAACTTAAGTATTACTTCTCCTGTCTTGAAATTCTGAAAAATCACTGTTCTCCAAGGAGCCTCTAGATGTCCCATGATTAACCTGAAAGGCATTTTAATAACAAACTTGGTAACAGACTCCTAAAAGCAAGGAACATACTGCCCAAAATTGCTTTCTGGTAAAATTAAAAAATGCCCTTTCATAACTGACAGGAAGCTGAGCAGAAGAGAAAGGAGCTAAAAAATTGCAGAACAGTAACTTGGACTGCTAGATCAAAAGACAGATAGGCACTTGGGGGAAAAGCAGAAAGAGCTTAAAAAAATGTATCTTGAGTTTTGAAGAGAGCATGTAACTATGCTTCTGATTCACCTTTTTCTTAAAAAAGAGGGAGCTGCATCATAGAGCTACATCGTTTTCTCTCCTTTAAAGGAAAATGATTTTGAGTTAGCAAGCCACTAACAGCTACATGAACTTGGCCAGACTTTTGACCTGCTTTTTAATGTCTGAAAAAGCAAACCCAAAAATATAGCAATAATTTACATGTATCAAGGCTTATGGCTTTAAGCAGCTATGCCACTTAAGGTGGCAAGAAAAAATATTTTATTTGAAAAGCCTGTGCATCTGTTCTACTGTTATAGGCAGATTTAACTAACTGAGCAGGTATAATTTAGAAATTGGTTTAGGAGTCCTGACTCCTAAAAAAAAGGTTGCATATCAAATCATCTACTGCAAAGTTTTCCAGTATCTAGCTGTTGTTTAAGAATACACACAGTATTCTACATAAATAGAGATTAAATTACCAATACAAGATATCAATCTCTACATGATAGAATGTAGAGTCCTTTTTAGTCACATTTTTAAGCAGAAACATATATATAAACATATACATGAAAACCTCACTGAGACAACATTTGAAAAATTATATTGATTTCAAGCTACAAGTGCTTTGAAAGCAAGTTTTTAAATTACAGATGAAAGTTTATTCTCATTTCTAAAATGAGTTTTTTTGTCCATTTCATCACAAAGAATGTGAGTAGAAAGAAATTTTTGTACTGCAATTAGATGCAGAAGCTACTAATGGTGACTAGATAACTGGACAGTTTTCAACACTGGAAATCAGAACATATCTTCAGTGTCATTTCAAAATCTGATTAATTGCACAATCTGTCCTGATGTCGCAGGTACTAACATCCTTCGAAAACACCTGACAAATATCTCAAAAAAATCCATAAAGGAGCTGAACACCTCAGCCGCACACAGCAGGTGTATCTCTAAAACATCATCTCTATAGCAAAAGCAGTAAACCTCTCCTTCTATGAACAAATTAATACTTATTATATAATAAGTTACAATGTGTAATTATACAGACATTAACAGGTGAACCTAAAAAATCTTAATGCTTTTTAAGGGAGGGAGGAGTCACCATGCAAAAAACTCCAAACTCCCACGGAAAAGAAAAGAAAAAAAAAAAAAAAAAAAAAAAAGCAGTACTATGGCTATACCACTACGTGAATTAGTAAAGTTTTGCTAGCTAATGCCACGTTTGGTTTTTATGTCCATGCATTTCCTCAGCAGCATAATTCAGTCATCTGCCACATACCCTACCTACATGGAGTCTTTGGATGCTACACCACTGAACCTTCTTTCTATCCAAAGCCACCTCTGAGCTTTCTGAAACTCCTAACATCCCTTTACCCACCTCCAGAAAAGACTCTCACAGCTCCTCCCACATCCTTTACCCCATGGGCAGGGGGCAGCACCACTGCCCCTTATTTACTGCTGGCAAACAAACCAGCAAATCAAGGTGGCGCTGAGCTGTCACTAGAGCTCAGTAACAGAACTGGTGTCTCTTCCTTCATTCACACAGCTTCCCATTTTCACAAAATATTCAGGTTTCCAATCTTTCATATCTCTGTTTTCTTTGTTAAATTGACTAAAACTATCCCAAATCTGAGGAGGGATGAAAAACATGGATGGACAACATAATAACGAAAACTTTGCTTCCAAAATGCCAGTAGAAGTACCAATGGCAGCCTTACAAACCAACTGTAGACAGCACCAGACAAAACTCTTCTAAAGAGCCATGGAAATTCAATACAATTATCCTCTCACTGCTGCATTTCAATACAATAAATTGTTAGCACTGAAGTCCCCCATCATTACTGAAGAAATACACCATCCTTCAGTACTGATTTAACAAGAACCATTTTGTTATGCTGAAATTAGGAAATAGGTCATTTTCCACTTAGACACAATGCCACTTGGAAGGCTACAAAAAAAGCTTCCCATACTCCTAAGAGAGAAGGAAGAAAATAATAGCATACACACAAGAAGTTACTGTTAAAAACCCAACAAAACAATCACGCCTAAATTCAACAAAAACTGAAGTCTCCATGGATCTCAAATGGACTTGGTCACTGAATCAGGCAAAACTCACTAGCAACAGACCTGAACATCCTTGTCAATACAATCATATCTACAACAGGCTGCTTGCTTTCTACAAAAACACTCTCTTTCATCAGATGGCAGCATCTACATAGTTTCACCTGAAAAATTCACATTCTATCAAAATAAAACACAGAGCACTCTAACAGAAAGGATACACCAGTGTTTTCTTTCAGCCAATACAGAAACAGCTCAATTCACTTCAGGATCTTACGTATAAACTCTAGTCCAATTACATAAAATTAAACTTCAAAAGCTGCGACAATCCTCTATATGAAATTTAGTTTATATCATACAGAACAGAACTTTCCTCTAGTCTTTTTCTATTGCTATTCCCCTCCACTTCCTCTCCTATTTCCATTAAAAAACCCCAAACCTCAAATCCTGTGTTGTAACTTCAGGAGATTAGTACTCAAACAACAGATAGACCAATCAAAAAAATTTGGAATGCCATTGTTAAATGTCACAAAATGAAAATTCAGGATTATTAACTAAAGTCATCAAAGACATCCAAGGGAACACGAAAACCAAAGTTATGCAATAAAAATTTAAGACTGTTATTGAACAGTGTATACATTATTCAGAATTAAAGCAGGAGCACTTTGCCGAAAATACATGCTCTATGCCCTGGTTTTACACAACCCGTTTCTACCAATATTAGCAGCAACATGGAGTTAATTAATGAAAACAAATATTACAAGAGTAACAATGGCTCTTTAAAATTATTAAACTAAGAATACAAAGAGAAGATAGGATTAAAGTTTCTATATTCGTTTCTGTAAAACACTTCCAGGTTAATCATGCTGTAGCAGCTGTATCCAGATAACCGCATGTTTTTTTACTAAAAACCATGTAAACTGGAATTTTCTGAACAATTTTTACAAACCCCAGCATCACAATACCGGTTGGGACACAACTGAGGCATCAGTATCTCCTTAAAACCTACCATTTAATTACCTTCATTTTCTTCGATGACCGCCTGAACACCTACTTTATAGGCATTTAAGTGCTTAGCACTTAACTACCCCTTTGGACACGAGACAAATTCACAATTCTCAAGTAAAAAAATTTGTAGGTCCCTATCCTGCATAGAAAACACACCTGTGTAGAAAATAGCCTGACTAAAAAAGATTTAACAGTATGAGCTAGAACTCTATGCAATAAGAGGCCAAATCTAGACATCAAACCAGTATGACATGGAGGAGATGATTATACGGGGATTTTGAAGAGTTAACGTGGTGTGTCAATAAAGAACTGATTTTATAGCGCACCAATTTAAAAACGCGGAAGTGTACACTCATTACTTTCATTCATACTACAGTCAGTCTCACTACCTTTCTACCTGAAATGGGAGTCAATATTTTGTGACATTAAACTACTGCGCCTTTGTTTTTCAGTGACCCACATTTCACTGGTCCAATGTTGCCCGTTCAACTCAAATCCCAAGATCCAGTTGTGTGAACGCCTACCCACCCACTACTTTTAAATTCACACATAGCTACAAAGTACTCTCGCCCCTAATACGTGATTTTCTGCCCATTCTCACGCACGACAGCCAGCGTCGAGGCCTGGAGGTGCCTCGGCCTCCCAGAGCCTTCCTGAAACGCCACAAAACAGGCGCCACAACACCGGGTTGATCTAAATCCGCGAGAAGAGAAAGATGCGGATGCCCCCTCCGTCGCCCCTTGAGCGAAGCGGGAGAGGCTGCGCCTTCTCAAGTTCTTTCCGCACGCAGCCGCGGGGGCCCGCACCTTCCCCGAGCGGCTCCGGCGGGTCCTGCTGCCTTCCAGTCAAAGGGCTTCGCTGCATGCCGGATTCACCGGGCCCACGCCCGCCCGCCGGGAGGAGGAAGAGCGCGCAGGCCCCCGGCACCCACAGGGGCCTCACCCCCGCGGGAACGGCGCGACTCGTCCCGGGTACCCCGCGGGCGTCTTTCCCCGCCTGCCTGGGCCCCGCGCGGGCCCCTCACCGTTCTGGCAGCGCGGCGCGCCGCTCGCCGGCGCCGCGGCCTCCAGGGAGCTGCCGGGCCCGCCCGGGGAAAACGCAGCGGCGGGCCCCGGCGGCAGCCCGGCGGGCGCGGACATGGCTTCTCGCAGCGCTTCTTCTCCGCGTCCCGCTGCCGCCTGCTCCTCTCCCTCCTCCTCCTTCTCTTCCGCCGCCCCGATCCACAGCCGGGTGCCGAGCGAGGGCCGGGAGCCGCGGGAGGGCCCGAGCGCCGCCGCCTACAGCGCCACCCAGCGGCAGCTCCGCCGTGAGGCCGCGCCTCGCCCGGCACTGCCCTGCCCGGCCCGGCCGCGGAGGGTGGGCCGAGAGGGCGGGACGGACCGAGCAGGGATGGTCGGCCGGGCCTCACATCCTGCCACGGCTTCACCTCACCTGGTCCCGGCGGGAACGGCCGTGTGGCGGGGAGAAGCTGACCGGCCCGCTTAGTCTATGTGTGGCGGGGCCTTTTGCATTATCTGTGACTCTATGGGCAGACCGGGGCAGGGTGAAGAGAGGCTCGAGGGAGGTGATCCTGCCCCTCTACTCGGCCTTAGTGAGGCATATCTGGAGTGCTGTGTTCAGTTCTGGGTTCCTCAGCACAAGAGGAACATGGAGCTCCTGGAGCACGTCCAGCAGAGGGACAAAGAGAATTGAGGGTCTGGAGCATCTCTCTTCGAAGGAATGGCTGAGGGAGCTAGGTTTGTTAAAGCTGGAGAAGAGACAGCTGAGTGGGGATTTCGTCAATAAATATCTAAATATATATCTAAAGTGTATAAATACCTAACGTGAGCATGCCAAGCGGATGGAGCCAGGCTCTGCTCTGTAGTGCCAAACAATAGGACACAAGGCAATGGGCAGAAACAGATGCACAGGAAGTTCCACCTGAACACGAGGAATAACTTTACAGTGACTGTGCACTGGAATAGATTTGACTATCAGGAGATACTCAAGAACCATCTGGATGTAATCCTATGCCATTTCCTCTAGGACAACCGTGCTTGAGCAGGGAGGTTGGACCAGATGAGCCACTGTGTTCCTTCAACCTGACTGATTCTGTGAGGCTGCTCCATGTCCCTGTCTCAGGGCATAGACATGTACAATACATACACCTGTCATTATTTTGCCTGAGATATTTTTGTCTGTATAGAGAATATATGCAATTTTAGGTATAAATGTACTGTGGAACACATGGAGAGGCAATGTGTGTTTCACAGGGGAAAAAGCTTCACAAGGTGAGGTGAAGTGAAAGCTCTCCCTCTGTAATTGTTCTTGTACAGACAGAAAAACCTTAGTAAGATGGGGTGAGCTGAGGCAAGGCTTTTCTTTCAGTGTTAGGAGCGCTCACTGTATTCTGTCTGTCTCCAGTGTGGATATATACTATCTATCAAGACAGGCCTTCACAAGAAATGGCAAGGTGAGATAATGCAAGACTTTTGAGTCATACTTCATATTGTCTAAATAGGAAGGCAAGTGTTGGAGAACCTCTGATGGTTTAACCCCATCCAGCAACTGAGCA